GTATGTAAATGTATATATGTTTATGTGTATGTGTGTGAACATGAGTGTGTGTGTTTGAATGTGTCTGTATGTGAACGTATGTATGTATGTATGTGTGAGTGTGTGTGTGAGTATGAAAGCATGAGTGTATATGTGTTTGAATGTGTATGGATGTGCATGTATGTGAATGTGTGTGTATGTTTGTGAGTATGAGTGTGGGTATGAGTGTGTGTGTGTGTGTGTGTGTGTGTGTGTGAGCGTGCACACGTGCGCATGCAGCAGCATCAGGGATCAAACTCTCAACCTCCTGTAGCTGTGGGCCCTGAGCTATGGCCCTGTGGAATGTTCCCTCCAGCCCCCCAGGCTTTGCAGGTGCTGATGCAATCGCTCCACCCCGCTGACTTTCCCAATCCCCTCCTGAAAGGAATGCCTGTGTGTGTTTGTGTGTGTGTGCACACTTGTGTGTTGGGTGCAGGTTAGCTCAGCGTCAGAGCAGATTCCAGGTCTCAAATTGGCCGAGTAAGGGTGCGGAGAGGCGTATACCTAGAGGGGCAGTAGAGGGGGAGATGGGGCTTCTCTGCTTCCCACATTCTTGGTACCCATCCCCCCCACCACACACACCAAGAGAGTCTTTGGAACCCACCACCTTGGGGTGTTTTTTTTTTTTTTTGCTTTTGACTTTTTTGGGTCACACCTGGAGATGCTCAATGGTTACTCCTGACTCGGTGCTCAGAGTGATCATATGTGAACTGGGAATCAGATCCGGGTGGGCCACGTGGAAGGCAAATATTCTCGTTGCTCTGCTCTCACTCTGGCCCCCTCTCTGCCTTGGTTTAACAGAAGCAGGAACTGCACACCCGTGCGGCGGATAGAGGCTGATTCCACAGGAAACGTCATGCCTCTACTGAGTGGGAGTGGGGAGAGGTTGGCGGGGTCCTGATGGGCCAAGCACCCCAGGAACAGTGACTCCCCTCTCCTACCAGCCTCCTAGTAGCAATGAGCTCTTCGGAACCTTCAACGTGCCTATTCATGGACTGTGGTATTGGGCACCAGAGCCGTATTCTCCTCCCTCCCAACCACAAGCTCTGCCCCTTAACCTCACCTCCCGCCCAGAGCCTTCCTTAATAAGGCTTAGTAATATGCTCTAATAAGAAGTAGATTATTCTTATGATTTGTAATAAGAAGTCTATTTATTAATAAAGGCCTGGGAGGGGTGGGGAGCGAGTTCACGAGCTGGTGTGGGGGCTTGGCCTGGAGGAGGCCTGGGGTGGGCCCAAGCACAGCTGGATCCCTTGGGCATCAACAGTTGTGACCCAAACAAAACAAACCAACGCGCCTGGGATAGGCCTGAAATGCTTGTGGGCCTGGGTTCAAGCCCAGCACTGCACGCATGAGCACATGTGCACACAACACGCACACATACACACAGAGAGAAAACAAAGTACATTCATACCGCCAAATACTATTCATAAACACTGAAAAAGAAAAAGAAATCATGCCAGAGGTGGAGACCAGAGCAACAGTACAGCGGGTAGGGCGTTTGCCTTGCACGCAGCCGACCCAGGTTCGATCCCTGGCATCCAAGTGGTCCCCCGAGCACCGCCAGGAGCTAATTCCTGAGTGCAGAGCCAAGGAGTAACCCCTGAGCATGGCCTGATGTGGCCCAAAATCAAGAAGAAGAAACAAAAAAATTGGGCTGGAGCAAAAGTCCAGTGGTGAACATGTTTGTCATGTGCTTAGCTAACCCTGATTTGGTCCCTGGTCTCTCACATGATTCCAGGTCCTGCCTGGAGGTCCCTGAGCACCTCCAGAGTGGCCTGAGTGCCCCAGAACAGAAGTACGTCCTCAAGCTCTGGCAGGGACCTGCTAGCCCAGCTGGCTAAGAATTGTCAAAGGAGGGGGCTGGAGTGATAGCACAGCCGGTAGGGCGTTTGCCTTGCACACGGCCGACCCGGGTTCGATTCCCAGCATCCTATATGGTCCCCCAAGCACGGCCAGGAGTAATTCCTGAGTGCATGAACCAGGAGTAACTCCTGTGCATCACTGGGTGTGACCCAAGAAAGCAAAAAAAAAAAATTGTCAAAGGGGGCACTGGACCCACTGAGTGAAACTGGCAAGATGCCACCCCACAATGGAAAAGAAATGAAGCCTGGCGAAGATGCTCCGAAAGTCACATAGGGTATGAACCTGCAGGGGTTCTGGGGCAGGAGAGCATGGTCACTGGCGATATCTCCTTTTGGGGTGATAGAACGTTCTGGAACAAGATGGTGGTGCTGGTTGACCAACAGTCTCTGAATACTGGATGCCTGTAACAAATCATCATGACCAACACTGTGCAAACCACAGTGTTTAAATAAAGCGGGGTTGGGGTGGGGTGAGGTGGGGAGTACATCATTGTGGGCCCCCATTATACTATACAGAGGAAGACTTCTGCCTTGCTTGTGGCAACCCCGGGTTTGATCTTTGGCACACACAGGGTCCCCTGAGCACCGAGTCAGGAGTCAGCCCTAAGTAGCGCTGGCTGTGGCCCTCAAAATATACGCACCCTATCCCAGGTGCTATCTCTTGCCTCCTCTCTGCTCTTTCAGTTTTTCTTTCTACTTTTGTTTTTGGGGCCACATCCGTGATGTTTAAGACCTTCTCTGATCAGGGGTCACCCTTGGCGGTATTTGGGGTACAGAAATATCCTTGGGTGTTTGGGGGGATGAAACTCAGATCTCCTGCATGCAAAGCTTGCACAGGAACCATTCCAACCATCTCCCTGGACCCCCAATTTTCTTCTCCACCCCCCCTTTTTTTTTTTGGCAGTTCAGGGCAGTATCAACCCAGACCTCAGGTATGTAAGGGTCCCCCTCCCCCAGGAGAAAGTTGTTTTTTGACCCGTCCTGGAGCCTCATTCTGGCCTCAGGGGTGCAGAGAGGGGAGAGAGGAAGCCCCCTAGGCAGGCAGTGCTTACTCTGAGTCTCAGGGGATCAGGCCGGCACTTTGTCTGTGAAAGGCGGGGACCCAGCTGGGGCGAGTGGGCGCAGATGGGGCGGGGCGCCCCTGTGGTGGATCAGGGCTGCTGGGAACCTGCCGGGCCGGTGTGTCGCCCAGGCACGCAGCAGTCGGCCACTGCTGTGGCTGGGGCCAGCGGCCGAGCTTCCCTGGGAAGAGACCAGGTTTGGCTGTGGGGCGGTGCATGCGGGTGGGAGTGGGCCCGGGTGGGGAGCACAGAGGCTGACGTTTGGCTAGAGGGTCCTTTGCTGATTTCTGGCAGCTGGGGCAGAGGGGGCGGTAAGAGTGGAAATGCAGAGTCCCAGAGCTTGGGCTGGTTCTGTGCAGGCTGGAGGTCCAGGCCGGGCTGGGCTGGTTCCTTTCATCCTCCTAAGCACCCCCTGGGGTGGATAAGGTGAAATGACTATATCCACTTTGCAGATAAGGGACACTGAACAAAGCCACCGCAGCTGGCGGCAGCAGCAAGGGAGCCCCTTCACCTTCATAACAGGTCTGGGCCAGAGCTGTCGGTCGAGGGGGGGGGTGCCCTCAGGGCCAACCCACTCAGAACAAAAACTTGAGGAATAAAGGTGGAATCAAGAGACAGAGATGAGGACAAGCACCCGAGGCAGTGGCCCCGGGAAGGCTTGGGAATAGCTGTTTCAGGTCGAAAGGGCAGGAGGGAGCCGGGAGCACCAGTGAGGACTTTGAGGGCTTGAACTCCATCCACAGGGGCGGAAGTACAGTAAGGAAGGCACTTGCCGGCATACCCCCGACTCAGGTTCAGTCCCAAGTACCAGTACCCAGTACCAGAACCCAGTGCCAGGAGTGATCCCTGAGCACAGAGCCAGAAGCAAGCCCTGAGCACTTCCAGGAGGGACCCCCGAACAAAATAAGCCCATGAACAGAACGAGCCTGGACAGACTCTGAGTGTGTGTGTGTGTGTGTGTGTGTGTGTGTGTGTGTATATGTATGTTGGGGTCCCAGCGCACATGATGTTGGAGACGCAGCCCCTTGGGGAGTGGGATATGGAGAGGTCATAGTGACACGGAGGTCAAAGTGACAAGGTGGGGCAGGCCGGAAGGAAGAGGCACGGAGAGAGTGTGAAGGGTGAAGCAGCTACCTTTGTCTTTCCACCCAGGGGGTGTGTGACTTCCCCTTCTCAGAGTCATTTATTTTACCCCTGCTGTGTTTCAGGGGAGACACCCCCCATCTCTGCTGCTTTTATTGAGGATGAACCTTTGTGGCTTTTATCACTGGGAGGTAGTGTGTGGAGAAGTGGCACAGAGAGATGTCATGCGGTGCGGGCCAGTTGGCCCAGAAACACTGGTTGCAGAATAATGTGGGGTACAGGTATCCCTCCCGGGGGGTGCACCCGCAACCACCTACCTCCCCAGCCTTTAGCTGTGTGGGGGGGGTCGTGGGCAGAGGACCCTCAACTGGGGCCATGAACAGAGCCTGGGGCAGCAAGGACAAAGAGCCGCAATCAGGGGCAAGGTCCAAGCCAGACCCGGTCTCCCCTTCCGGTGCTCGGCGTGGGCGGGCGGGGGATGCCGGGGAAGCTGTGATGCCCCAAAGCTTCTGGGAACGCGGTTTAGGATGCAGGGCCAGCTGGGACTGGCCCTTTGGTGGAGCAGAGGCCTGGGAGAGGCGTGGGAGAGCGACAGACAGACGGCGGCGACAGAGACTGAGAGCGGGCGAGCCCCGACGGGAGACGCAAGACCCTTGTGGCCGCACTCATTCATTCATTCATTCATTCGTTCACTCACTGGGCTCTCTCCACCGAGACGCCCCTGACTCACATCCCCGTCCCCGTGTGAGTCTGGAGGGGGACGAAACCCGAAACAGGGGGGAAAGAGCGAGAGGCACAGAGGAACGTGAAGGACAGGGGTGGGGAGGGGAGGGTGAGGTGGGGTGGGGGCGGGTCGCTCCGGACCCCGGCGGCTGTAGCCCCGCCCACAACAGGCGGGGCTAGTGAGGAGGCGTGGCCACACCCGGGGACCAATCGACTGGGACGAGACGGGGCGGGGCGGGCCTCACCTACTGGGCTAAGCCTCCTTCCTAAATTCGCCGCTGGGAACCCCGCTCAGCCCGGCTGTTACCCGGGTGCAGCCCTAGAGGCTCTCTGGACAGGTAGGCGGGAAGTGGGGAGGGGGAGATGCTTTGGCAGCGGTGCCGACCCCAACACACACCCCCGGCTCTAAACCCTCCCTCGCCCCATCTCCGAACCCTCCCGCCGCGACGGAGCGTCCCTGGGTGGCGGCCCAGTCCCGCGGGGGGGAGCGGAGGGCTCGGCCGTGCCAGTCGCCGCCGGGGCGCGCTCCGGTGCCGCGGCGGGTGGCACAGGCTGGCAGCCACGGGCTGGGTGCCCGGGCCCCAACAGGAGGGGGTGCGTCCCGGGGCCGCCCCTGGCCTGCCTGCCCGGGTCGAGCGCAGCCTCCCACCCACCCCCCAACCCCGCCCCAAGCAGCGTCCACTCTCTGGGCAGCGCGACTTGGGGGGCGCACTAACCTGGCGCGCGGGTGAGTGTCGAGCGTTGCTGACGCGGTGAGGCGGTCGCCGTGCCTACCATCCCGGTTCCTTTGCTTTTCTGGCATCCCCTAGGGGAGGACTGGGCCCGAGTATGCCAGGTTAGATGCAGGGCCTCACCTAGGAGCGGGGTGAGATGCAGGGAGTCCCTCAGCTTTGCCCTGTCCAGGTGGCACCAAGGCTTGTCGGGTTAGTGCTGCCTCCAGGTGGTGCAGCGGCCCCACCAGCGCGAGAGTCCCGGGTCTGCATGCAAATGGTCCCTGGGGTTGACTACATTTTCCCCTCTAGTGTGCAGTGGGGACCCTCAGGCTGATTTTGTACCTGCGGGCAAAGGACTTTCTCATCTGTTAAATGGGTCCGTGCTGTGTCTCTGTCCCGCTGCATGTTTGGGGATGCAGGGACACCCCTCCCGGGACATGTCTCACAACTCAGTTTTCTCCCCCATCAATGGGGACAGAGAAGCGCGCAGTGGAGGAGGCGGGCCGACAGCTGGCGTGTTATTAGCCTTTAATGACATGTGCAGCTTTTGCCAAGGCCTGAATGCCTACCAGGGGTGGCAACCTCTGCCCCAGGCTCTGCCACTGAGAGGGGAGCGGGTGGTGGGTGGGAAGCTTGGGGCAGGAAAAAGTGCATGTACCCAACAGGTGGGTTTGGGGCTTCTGGCATGCAAGTGGCTGGCCATGGTGAAATTTGGGCTTGTGTGGTGAAGGGTCTCCCGCCCAAATGTGCTGGGGAATTTGTGTCTGGAAGTGTCTGTCCATGTGGGAAGGTCCTTTTGTTGGGTTTCGGTTTGGGGGGGCCACACCTGGCGATGCTTAGGGGTTACTCCAGGCTCCGCGCGCAGGAAGATGTCAGGGATTGAATCTGGGCTGGTCACATGCAAGGCAAATGCCTTTCCCACTGTACTCTCTCTCCAGCCCCTGAATGCCTTTGTGGGTTCCCCTCGTGGAATATGAGTTTGTTTTGCTTATTTGGGGTGTCAGGGGCTTCAGCCAGTGGTGCTCATCACGGGCTGCTCCACGCTCAGTGCTCAGGAGACAGTGCCATACCAGGGATCAAACTTTGGCCCCACCCACTTTTTTCTTTTTTCCTTTTTTTTTTTTTTTTTTTTTTTTAGGCTTTTGGGCTATACTAGTTGTTACTCCTGGCTCTGTACTTGGAACTTACTCGTGGTGAGCTCGGGTGACCACATTTGGTGACAGGTATTGAACCTGGGTCAGCAGCGTTCAAGGCAAGAGCCCTGCCCGCCATACTATCTCTCCAGCCCCGAACCTTGGGTTAGGCCTCTTGAGCTCAGCCTCTCTCCTGCCCTCTTTTTAATTTTTCCCCTTCTGGGTTTGGGTCACACCAGGCAGTGCTCAGGACTTACTCTGTGCTCTGCACACTCCTGGGATCACTCCTGGCGGGGCTCTGGGGTCCTCTGGGGTGCCACGAATCCACCTGCCTTGGTCTCCTATACCAGCCCTTGTAAATGACTGTAGGTCTCTTGTTCCTGGCGGCTGGTCTCTGTCCCTTTCTCCGTGAACTTGGCTTTGTGTGTAGGAGACCGTGAGTGGCTTTGCCCCTGGCGATCCCCGCGGAGGATGATAATACTTTCTAGTGCCCTGCAGGGCGCTATCACTTGTGTGTCTCAGCCCCCATGGGGTGGTGGTGCGGGAGCAGTCCGGCCCGCGCACCTTCGGCCGAGCGCGCGGGGATGCCATGTCCCCAACCTTGACCCTCCCGCGTCCTGCCTCTCCGCAGCCTTGGGGCAGGCGGCCCATGGAGCCGGGGCTGCTGCGACCCGCGCCGGTCAGCGAGATCATCGTCCTGCACTACAACTACACCGGCAAGCTCCGAGGCGCCCGCTACCAGCCCGGCGCGGGGCTGCGCGCCGATGCCGTCGTGTGCCTGGCCGTGTGCGCGCTCATCGTCCTGGAGAACCTGGCGGTGCTGCTGGTGCTCGGGCGCCACCCGCGCTTCCACGCGCCCATGTTCCTGCTGCTGGGCAGCCTCACGCTGTCCGACCTGCTGGCGGGGGCCGCCTACGCCGCCAACATCCTGCTGTCGGGGCCGCTGACGCTGCGCCTGTCGCCGGCGCTGTGGTTCGCGCGCGAGGGCGGCGTCTTCGTGGCGCTGGCCGCGTCCGTGCTGAGCCTCCTGGCCATCGCCCTCGAGCGCCGCTTCACCATGGCCCGCCGGGGCCCCGCTCCGGCCGCCCGGCGGGGGCGCACGCTGGCCCTGGCGGTGGCCGCCTGGGGCGTGTCCCTGCTGCTCGGGCTGCTGCCGGCTCTGGGCTGGAACTGCCTGGGCCGCCTGGACTCGTGTTCCACCGTGCTGCCGCTCTACGCCAAGGCCTACGTGCTCTTCTGCGTGCTCGCCTTCCTGGGCATCCTGGCGGCCATCTGCGCCGTCTACGCGCGCATCTACTGCCAGGTACGCGCCAACGCGCGGCGCCTGCGGGCGCGCCCCGGGGCGGCCGGGAGCGTCTCGGCGCGCTCCCGCCGCACCCCGCGCTCGCTGGCGCTGCTCCGCACGCTCAGCGTGGTGCTCCTGGCCTTCGTGGCCTGCTGGGGCCCCCTCTTCCTGCTGCTCCTGCTGGACGTGGCGTGCCCGGCTCGCGCCTGTCCCGTGCTCCTGCAGGCCGACCCCTTTCTGGGGCTGGCCATGGCCAATTCGCTGCTCAACCCCATCATCTACACGCTCACCAACCGCGACCTGCGCCACGGGCTCCTGCGGCTCCTGTGCTGCGGCCGCCGGCCCTGCTGTGCGGGTCCCGGAGCCTCCCGGCGGCCGCGCGTCGCCGCCGGGGCCTCGGGGGGCCTGGAGCGCTGGCTGCCCCCCGGCCTGGACGGCAGCTCCAGTCGCTCCGAGCGCTCCTCTCCTCTGAGGGACAGGCTGGACACCAGCGGCGACACCGGAGACCCCGGCGTGCCCACCACCGCCCCGCCCCTGGTTCCTGCTCCTGCTGCGGACTGACAGCCCCTCTGCGTGCGGGCCCGAGCTTGGAGCAGGAGCTTGGCAGAAATGTTCTTTGGGAAAAAAAACTGGTGGGGGCGAAGGGCCAGAGAGATAGTGCAGTGGGTGGCGCTTGCCTTGCACTCGCCTCCCGGGGTTCTATTCCTCCTGGCGTTCCATAGGGTCCCCCAGCACGGCCAGGAGTCATTCCTGAGTGCAGAGTCAGGAGTAACCCCTGAGCATTGCAGGGTGTGATCCAAAAATAACCCCCAAAAAATTGGGGTGGTGATTTGGGGGGTTGAACCCAGGGCTTTATCCATACAGGGGAGGAACTCAGAGCCACATCCCCCACCCCGAATTTTCCATTTTTCCATTAAGGAATTTTAGAAGCCGTGGAAGATGGCAGAGGTGGAGGAGACCTGGGAAATGGCCCTACTAGGACAGAGGCAAACACCCCAGTTCCTGGTTGACATGGTGGATTGATGCCTGGGGAACAGAAACCTTCCCAGAGCCCCCCAGAAATGGAGACGATTCCAGGGACGATAGAGCGACGAGCCCAGGGTCAGGGGAAGCTTAGCCATCACTGTCCCTGGGACCCTGAAGGAACTGAGTTTCCGGGTGCGGGCACAGCACGTGCGAAGTCCCAGAGGCTGCGGTGTGTCCTGCCTAGTTCTGCAGGAAAAAAAGGAACACAGGAGGGGAGGGAACCAAGTCACGGGACAGCATGAAAGGACCAGAGCTCCCACAGGAGCCACTGTTCCAGGGCCACTGTGGCAGGGCAGAGGGGGCGGGGCTCAGGGAAGGACTTTTGCTCCAGTGAGCCCGGAGCTATGGAGGGTTGTAGGCAGAGAAGGGTCAGGGGTCAGGACTCAATTCACTTTTATGAATTTGCTTTTTGGGTCACACCCGGTAATGCTCAACGGTGACTCCCGGTTCTGCACTCAGGAATGACTCCTGATGGGACTCAGGGGACCATCTGGGATGCTGGGGATCGAACCCGGGTCAGCTGCGAGTCAGGCAAGCACCCTTCCCGCTGTACTATCGCTCCAGCCCCCCAGGAACCACTTCTGACTTTTCCACGTGCCTGTCATCTCTGAAGGACCATGGGGTGGGCACCAGAATAACATGAAGGTGTTCTGGGGAGCGAGGTGGGGAACTGTGCTTTAGGGTGGATTCTGAGGGCCTGGGCAGAACTGAGCAAAGAAGGGAAGGTGCCACACAGCTCTGGTTCAGGGGAGAAGACTCAAAGGTGGGGCTCTGTAAAGCTGGATACTGGGGGCCAGAGAGATAGGACAGGAGCTGGCCTTGCAGGAGACCTTGCAGGAGGCTGGGTTTCATCCCCAGTACTGCATGGGATCCCTTGAGCCTCGCCAGGAGTGACTCTGAGCACAGAGCCAGGAGTAAGCACTGAGTATTGCTGGGTATGGTCTCAAAACAATAAACAAAAAAATTAAACTTTGTGAGACTTGGCCAATTTCTACATGGTACTGCAAAGTTTTGTTCAAAGCAGTGTCAACCTTTTAAAAAATTATAATAAATGGGGGCTCCTGGAAGATAGTACCCTGGGTAGGTCACTCGCCTTGCTTGCAGTTAACCTGAGTTCAGTCCCCCCCTCCCCAGAGTGTACCTGGAGCCCCACCAGGGGTGATCCCTGAGCACAGCTGGGTGTGGCTCCCAAGATAAATCCTAGTAAAAACAAACAGGGCTGGAGTGGCAGTATGATGGGTAGGGTGCTTGCCTTGCATGCGGCCGACCTGGGTTCCATCCCCAGCATCCTATATGATACCCAGAGCAAGCCCAGGAGTAATTACTGAGTACAGAGCCAGGAGTAACCTCTGAGCATCGAAGGGTATGAGTGTGACCTAAAAGGCAAAAAAGAAAAGAAAAGAAATCCAAAACAAATTATAGTGGAGAACCATGAGTTTGCCCGTGATGCTGGACTAGTTGCCCTCCCCCTTTTCTTCCCCTCAACACACACACAGTGGCACAAAGACCCAGGACACCCTCCTAGTCGTGCAGGGACCCTCGGCTGCATATGACTGATGGGAAAACTCTCAGCTCCTCGCCCAGCGCCTATCTGAACGGCTGGTTGGTTCCATGCTGGGGACCCCGAGGTGCATAGTGGGTGTCCACCCACTCCCTGAGGAGTTTGCATTCTCCTTGCGGGGGCGGGGTGGGATGGGGGAGAAGGGCCCCATTTGAGACTGAGTAGCTCCAAACCGGGTGAAGTCTCCCTCCTGCTTCCTTAGCGGGGCGCCACGGATTTAGATGGTGCGCGCCCCCTAGCGGGAGATCGCTGAACCGCAGGCAGTGGCAAGCAGCAGTAAAACCATCTACTGGGCTGGGGTGCGGGGAGGAGGAACTCCCGCTCTTAACTACCTGTGGGTCTGAGTCACCAACCACACGCTGGGGAAAACAGCCTAGTTTTTGGAACACAGATGCATTCAAACTTGCAGTCTGGTTTCCAGGTCTGAGGGGGTCCCCAGATGACTGCTAGCTCCCCCCCCCATTACAAATTCCGAAGCAGCTGACACATCCCGCTCCTGTTGTTTGGTTCATTTGATGGCATGAAGGTAAGAGATTTATCAGGGCCTGGGAAGAAGGTGGAGAAATGTTCTCTCCAGACTCAATTTAATCCGGAACTCCGAGCCCGGATGGGAATTCCCCCAATTCACCCGGGAAGCTGGCACAATCTCTTCTTAGACCAACATCTGTTCCGTCTGGCATTTCCTTCTGTTGTTTGCTGAGTTTTCAGTAAACTGGACTCTTAAAAATAGACGGGGGTGGGGACGTGGGAGCGGGGGTGGCCTAGAGCGTAGTACAGCCGGTTGGGCGCATGCTTTGCACGTGGCTGACCTGAGCTTGCTCCCAGGCACCCCATAAGGTTCCCCAAGCCCTGCCAGGAGTGATTCCTGAGCGCAGAGTCAGGGGGTAAGCCCTGAGCACAGCTGGGTGTGGCCCCCAAAGAAGTTAAAAACTAAGATACCAGAGGGTGGAGGTCCAGGAGTGTGGCGATCTGGGTTTGTGTTTCCTGACCCATGAGGCTTCCTGAACACTGATCCGGGAGTAACTCAATCACTGCTGGGGTGATCCCCCCAAAAATGTAGGGGGTCAGGGATGTGATTTAGCAGGTAATGTGAATGCAGTGAGGCCCTGGGTTGGAGCTCCCGCTCCACACACACAACTGGGATCTAGATGATAGTACAGTGGGCAGTTTACCTTACGAGCTTGCCTTGGGTTCAGTCCTTGGCACCCCATATGGTCCCCTGAGCCCTGCCAGGTGTGACCTCTGAATGCAAAGCCAGGAGTAACCCTTGAACACTGAACACTGCTAGGTGTGCTAGTCAAACGAAACAAAACTAAACCCCAGAAAAACATATACATTTAATTACAAATTAACTTTATGGGAGGGGGGGGAGAGAGAGAGAGAGAGAGAGAGAGAGAGAGAGAGAGAGAGATTGCTTTGTACATGGTTTGGTCCCTGGTCCACATAGGGTCATGAAGTATCTCCAAGAGTAAACCCTGAGCAGCACCAGGTGTGTCCCTCAAAGTCAAACCTCCACCAAACAAGTTAGCCTCAGGGCCAGCGATGGGTCTGCTGCTGGCCACAGCTGGTGTTTTCGGTTTAATTGCAGACCCCAAGGTTCCCCTGAATAACGCTGGGAGCAACCCCCCAAATAGAGACAGGAGTCCCACAGAGCCCCCGCTGGGCATTTTCAAAACAACAATTACCTTTATGGGGCTGGAGTACAGCGGCCAGGGCGTTGGCCTTGCACACAGCCTCCCAGGGTTCAAGTTCTGGGCACCCGATATGCCAGGAGTAACCCTTGAGCATCGTGGGTTGTGACCCAAGTAGGGGAAATTAGCTTGACCCTGAAAACAGTTATGTGGGTCCACGGAAGCAGTGAACGGCACTTAAGAGGCTAATTCTAGTTGGGACCTGCGGTCGCAGGCCGTGATGGAAGAAACTAGGGCTGGCAGGGTGCCGGCGTCTGCGCCCCAACTTTTGTCCTCTGGGCACCTGCGGGCAGGGCGGAGACCGCGGTTCCTTGCCCCGCCGCACCCTTTCTGTGTTCTCCTGGCCTGTTTTGCCTCCAATCCCCCTAACCCGACAGCGGCTGCCCGACCGACGGCTGAAAACCAGGTGGGCCCCCCGACGGCGGAGTCGCCCGCGGGCACCGGATCGCCAACTTCTTCCCAGCTCGGGCTGCAGCCTCCCTGGAAAACGCGGCGCGCGGGCTGGCACCCCCGTGCCGGGCCTCCCCCACCCCGAGCTCACGCTGGGGAACAAGGTGAGCGCGCCGCGGTGGGCGGAAGGTGCGCGTCGGCCTCGAACCCGGGGCTGTGCGGGCCGGTCGGAACCACGCGGCTGCGGGGGCGCCGAGGGCTGGAGCTGCGGTTCCCGTGCCCGCCGCGCTGCGCCCCCGCGCGCGGTGCTCGCCGCGCTGGGGGGTGCGGGAGGCAGCGCTGCTGGGCGATCGCGGGCCAGGGTGCGGCCCCCGCTGTCCGCGTCCCGCCGCCGGACGCCTGGGGACCGCGGGGGACTCTTATTCTGACACGGCGGGCGCCGGCTCTGCTTAGTCACGGTGACCTGCGCGCGCTCCGCGCCTCCCCCCTGCGCGCAGCGATGGAGGCGCCCGGGCCGGGGCGACGGAGGCGGAGCCCGAGCGCGGCCATGGCGGGGTGAGTGAGGCGGCCTGCGCCCGGGGGGGGAGGCCACGGCGGGCCCCGATCGCTCCGGAGCTCGGGGTGGGGGACGCGGCGCCGCGGGACGCAGCGCTCCGAGGTCCCCGCGGCTCCCTCCCCGCCTCCCCGCGAGGGCCCGGAGGGCGCGGCTCGGGGCTGATCCTGTGGCTGGACTGGACGGCGCGACTTTGCGGGGGCTGCCACCCCGCCCCACCCCCGAGCCACCCGAGCGGCCCCCGGGAACGGCGATCGGAGCACTGGAGGCCCGGGCACCCGCGCCTCGGAACCGGGAAAGGGTTTTGGGGATGCCAGCCAGGGGACCCCGGCGAAGTCACTTCCTCCCTTCTCCCGGCCTGGGTGGCGGCTCCCGCGGGGCATGCGCAGTCCCCCATACTACTTGTGGCTGGGGGTGGGGGTGCTGGAGTGTCCAGTGCCCGCGGGACACCGTTGACCGATTGGCGAATGACCGAGAAGCAGACGCGCGGCTTCAGCGGCGGGGAGGAGGCCGAGCGCTGCCCTGGGCCGTGCGCGCGCTTTGGGGAGGTGGGGGGCGGGGAGGTGGCCGGCAGGGCTGAGCCGGAGCGGGCAGTTAGCCAGCCCCCTGGAACTGACCCCTGAGCGGTGCCAGGCCCCAGGGAGAGACACCGGGAGGGTGGGCAGCCGCCCGGGTCAGAATCTGACCATGCAGAGGAGACCGAGGGAATCTCAGGAGGGATGAGGCGGGAGCCCACGGAAACTCTCTTTGCTGTCCCCACATTTTTGCTGGAGCCAGAATCTTCCAAAACTCAACTCCCGCCTGGCCGTGCAGCCCTGGAGGTTTCCAGGAAACTCTGATTCGGGGATTCTCCTTTGCTCTTCTGTCTCTGGGCCTTTGCACCTGCTGCACCCGCTGCCTGGGCACCAGTGCCCCTGCTCCCACCGCCCCCCCTTTCTTGTCTCAGAACCACCTGATTTCAAGTGACATCACCGCACACCACCCCAAAACATGGTCACTGTGCTGTCCTTTACTCATCTTGCAAAGCCTGCCTTCCTTCCTTCCTTCCTTCCTTTCTTCCTTTTTTCTTTTCTTTTTGCTTTTGGGGCTACACCCAGCAGTGCTCAGGAGTCACTCCTGGCTTTGCACTCAGAAATTAATCCTTGTGCTGTTTGCAGGGCCATATGGTTTGGTCCAATGTGGGGCTACCAAGGATCGAATTCAGGTCAGCCGTGTGCAAAGCAAAAGGCCAACCTGCTATACTATCACTCCGACGCCTCTTTCTTTTTAAAAATTTATTTATTTATTTTGCTTTTTGGGTCACACCCGGCAATGCACAGGGGTTACTCCTGGCTCATGCACTCAGGAATTACTCCTGGCGGTGCTCGGGTGACTATATGGGATGCTGGGAATTGAACCCGGCTTGGCCGCGTACAAGGCAAACACTTTCCCTGCTGTGCTATCGCTCCAGCCCCTTTAAAATTTATTTTATTTTATTTTTATGTCTTTATTTTTTTCTTTCTTTGCTACACCTGGCAGTGCTCAGTGGTTACTTGTGGTGCTCGGGGACCTTATGGGATGCCAGGATTAAACCCAGGACAAGGGTGTCCCTGATGCTTACAACTGAGAGCACCTGTTGGTGAAGTGTGGAAAGGCCTGAGTTTTGCTGATTCCCAGAAGCCAAGGGCTACTAGGCATCTGGAGCTGAGGGAATGGGGCAGGGGTTTTCTGCAGAGGGTTTTGTAGGTAAAGGAGGAGTTTGGTTGCACTCTTCTTGCCATGAGGAGTAGGGGTTGGGAGTTGGATCAGGGAAGGGTGTGAACTGTCTGTTTTCTGCTGTGTATGTGCCCACTCTGGTGATCCTCAGCTGGGCTGTGCAGGCTTGGAGGTTTGATCCTCAGGCCTGTCAGTGAAAGGGGCTATTAGGGCCACTGGTCATGTAGTGTGCTCAGTGCCAGGGCTACTCCCCTGACAGTGCTCAGGAGCTGTCGTTTCAAACTCAAGATCTTAATCTTACAAAGCACATGCACCAACATTTTTTTTTCTTTTTGGGTCACACCCAGCAATGCTCAGGGGTAACTCCTGGCTCTGAACTCAGGAATCACTCCTGGCAGTGTTCAGGGGACCATATGGGATGCTGGGAATCGAACCCGGGTTGGCCGCGTGCAAGGCAAACGCCCTACCCGCTGTGCTATCGCTCCAGCCCCTCCTTTTTTTTGGGTCACACCCAGCGATGCTCAGGGGTTACTCCTGGCTCTGCACTCAGGAATTACTCCTGGCAGTGCTTGGGGCACCTGGGATTGAACCCAGGTCAGCTACATGCAGGCAAACCCCCTCCCCATTGCTCCAGACCAACACCAACCTTTTAAACTATCTCCCTGTCCTGGCTTTTTTTTTTTTTTTAATGGAGGGCTTGGGTTTGGGACTTACCACACAGCCAACCCCAGTTCAGTCGCAGGCCCCACATATGTCCCCACATACTGCCAGGGGTGATCCCTGAGCACAGAGCCAGGAGTAAACCCTGAGCACTGTTGGGTGTGACGCAACCACTCCCCGCTCCAGTTTTGTTTGAGATAACTCAGTGGTTGGAGCATGTGACTAGCATGCAGGCGATCCGGGTTCGGTTCCCAGCACCAAGGGGTTTGCTGAGGACATTGAGGACAATCCTCAAGCACTGAGGCAGAAGCCCTTGGCACCACCAGATTTACCCCTACCCTCCCAAAAAAATAATAGAACCCTTTCGCCCCGAGGACCTGGGATTCACCCCCTGCAACATTAGACATTAGCATCCCAGGTTGCACGTGGCCAACCTGGGTTCAATCCCCGGCATCCATATGGTTCCCTGAACCCACCAGGAGTGATTCCTTGGTGCAGAGCCAGGAGTAACCCCTGAGCACTGCCAGGTGTGGCCCCCAGAACAAAACAAAATACCAAACATCAGCTCACAGGTATGGCAAAAAAAAGGGGAGGTCTGAGGGGTAGAGCGAGAGTACAGGGGGTAAGGGTGCCCTGCGTTTGGTCTCTTCCAGTTTGAGTCCCGCCCTGAGCACAAAGCTAGGAGTCATCTGTAAGCACGGCCAGGCGTGGCTCCCCCCTCCCTCCCCAATCCCACAAAAAAAAAAAAAGTGTCTGGCGAGATAATCCAGGAAACAGGGGCCAACCCAGGTTCGATTCCCAGCATCCCAGTGGTCCTCCGAGCACCGTCATGAGGAATTCCTGACTGCAGAGCCAGGAGTAACCCCTGAGCATCACCGGGTGTGACCTAAAAAGCCAAAACCAAACAAACAAAAAAGAAGTCAGCCGCTGTGATTCCACTTCCCCCCACCAAAAAAAAAAAAAAAAAAGGTGCAGGGGGTCCCAGCTCTGTTCTCCCTCCTCCAGGTCCTTTAGTGCCAGCGGCAGTGTCGTACCTGGTCCCCCGGAACCCCATGCAGGCAAAAGCCAGGCCTAGCGGGGCTGGGGCCCGCACCCGATTCCTGCCGCTGACGTCGCAGTGCCCCAGGGGGGCCGGGGACGCGGTGATGTTCGCCTCCACCGAGTGCAAGGCCGAGGTGACGCCGTCGCCGCAGGGCAACCGCACCTTCAGCTACACGCTGGAGGACCACACCAAGCAGGCCTTCGGCATCATGAACGAGCTGCGCCTCAGCCAGCAGCTGTGCGATGTCACGCTGCAGGTCAAGTACCAGGACGCGCCCGCCGCGCAGTTCATGGCGCACAAGGTGGTGCTGGCGTCGTCCAGCCCCGTGTTCAAGGCCATGTTCACCAATGGGCTGCGGGAGCAGGGCATGGAGGTGGTGTCCATCGAGGGCATCCACCCCAAGGTCATGGAGCGCCTCATCGAGTTCGCCTACACCGCCTCCATCTCCATGGGCGAGAAGTGCGTGCTGCACGTCATGAACGGCGCTGTCATGTACCAGATCGACAGCGTGGTGCGCGCCTGCAGCGACTTCCTGGTGCAGCAGCTGGACCCCAGCAACGCCATCGGCATCGCCAACTTTGCTGAGCAGATTGGGTGCGCCGAGCTGCACCAGCGCGCCCGGGAGTATATCTACATGCACTTCGGGGAGGTGAGCACGCGGGATGGGGGGTGGGGGTGGGGGGCAAGGGGGCGGTGTGGGAGCGCAGAGGGACCCGCTAGGGGCCCAAGCGAAGGGGCAGGGGACGTGGTCCTCGTGATCGGCATGGCCCACCCTCGCCTAGAGATCAGATAGAGCTGGAGGGAAACACACACACACACACACACGCACGCACACACACAGAGAGAGAGAAAGGTTTGGGTCAGAGATAGCAGCATAGCCGATAAAGGTGCTTGCCTTGCAGGCGGCCTACCTGCATTCAGTCTGCGGCACCCTGTGTGGTTCCCTGAGCACGGCCAGGAGTGATTCCTGAGTGCACAGCCAGGAGTAACTGCTGAGCATCGCCAGATGTAGCCCCAAAGCAGAACAAAAGGTTTGGGTGGGAGACATAAGACAGCGGGGACGGTGCTTGCCTTACACAGAGGCGACCCAGGTTTAATTCCCGGTACCCCATAGGATCACCTGAGCACCGCCAGGAGTGATTCCTCAGTGCAGACACAGGAGTAAGCCCTGAATATTGCCAGGTCTGGCCCAAAAACAAAAGAACAAAAGGTGTTTTTTTTTTTTTTCTTTTTGGGTTATACCCAGTGTTGCACAGGGGTTACTCCTGGCTCTGCACTCAGGAATTACTCCTGGCGGTGCTGGGGGACCATATGGGATGCTGGAGACCAAACCCTGATCGGCCGCGTGCAAGGCAAATGCCTTATTCGCTATGCTATTGCTCCAGCCCCCAAAACAGAAGGTTTGAGTGGGAGAGCTGGACAGCTGGGAGGGCGCTTGCCTCACACACAGGCGACTCAGGTTCGATTCCTGCCACCCCAAGCCCCGCCAGGAATGATCCCTGAGCACAGAGCCAGGACTAAGCTCTGATCACCACTGGGTGTGAACCCCCCCCGCAAAAACTATAGTGGGGCCTCTAGGCTTCCTGAGGTCAAGGGTGGGATAGAATATATTGAACACAGCATCTCTGTTCTGTGATGAGTTGGGCATGGCCAGATATTTCAGGCAGCCAGAGATATTTCTTCTCTCTCTCTCTCTCTCTTTGCTTTTGTTTTGGGGAACAGCTGACTCTGCACTCTGGGACCCCTATGGGGCGCTGGGGATCAAGCTCAAGTCTGGTGCATGCAGGTCTAACTCTTTGTCCACTGGATTATCTCTCAGATGGATGGATTTATATTTGGGGGTGGGGGGTTGATGCTCTGTGGTGTTTTTTTTTGGGCTTGATGCTGAGAAGTGACCCCTGGCAGTGCTCCAGGGACATGACGTCCTGGGGATTGGACTGTACCGGGCCACGTGAAGGCAGTGCCTCAGTCAGTTCTTGAACATGTGTGACATGCTACAGGCTAAGAATGTGATGGTTGTTGTTTGTTTGTTTTTGGGGACGCGCGACATCTTATTATGACATCTTATTATCTCATTCCTACTTTGGACAAACTGGCAGGCTACCGAATGTGGCCTGCCCACACGGCAGAGTCTGGCAAACTCCCCGTGGCGTACCAAATATGCCAAATACCAGTAACAATGATGGGTCTCATTCTCCTGAAGAGCCTTGAATATAATCTCAGGGCTAGGATGAAGGAGACGTTACTGGGGCCTGCTCGAGGCAATCGACGAATAACAGAATGATTTGTGATTTGTGATTTGTGGGGGGAGGTAAGCAAGACAAGCTTCTTTTCCTCTATACTGTCTCTCTGGCCCTCTTTATTCCGTATTTTTTTTTCCCACCTATGTTTTGAATCACGCATGGCCGTGCTCAGGGCTGACTCCTGGCTCTGATGGACTCAGAGATCACTCCTAGCACTGCCCAGGGAACCTGTGGGGTGCCAGGGGTGGAACCCAGGTCAGCCACTCGGCAGGCAAGTGCCTTCCCCGCTGTGCTATGGCTCCAGCCGCATCCTTGGCATGTCTTTGTGGGCAGTGATCGGCATTGAACCCCACAGGCACAGTGGAAACTTCTCCACTTCTCCCCTCCCCAGCCTGTCTACGAAAGTGTTTCTTGGAAATCGTCCCTTGGTGCGTTTTCTTTGGGCCTTGCCCTGCTGGGCTTAGGCTGTTTTCGGTTTCATTTTAGTTTTTCCTTCGGAAGGGGAGGAGTTTGTAAAGAGAAAATGAACAGAGGCTTCCAGTCTAGGCCCAGCAAGGACCCCCACATTCCTGGGTGGTGGCCCCAGCCGCCCCTTCAAGCTTGTGCCGTTGAGCTGAAATTGTTTTATTTTTTAAAATTTTTTAAAATTAATTTTGGGTCACACCCGGCGATGCTCAGGGATTACTCCTGACTCTGCACTCAGGAATCGCTCCTGGAGGTACTTGGGGAGACTTTAGGGGATGTCGGGGATCGAACCTGGCTTGGCCATGTGCAAGGCAAACACCTTCCCTGCTGTGCTGTCACTCTCGCCCCTGAAATTAAGTTCTGCCAAGCACTGACTTTTGCCTTTTGTGTCTTTGGTTGGTTTCTTTGGCACCTAGAAATGCTCAGGGCTTATTCCTGGCTCTGCACTCAGAAATTACTCCTGGCGATGCTTGGGGTGGGGGGAGGGGGGATCATATGGGATGCTGGGGATTGACCCTGGGTCAGCCATGTGCAAGGCAAAAGCCCTCCCCACTGTGCTATCACTCCGGGCCTTGTTTTTCTTTGTGGGACTGGGGGGGGTGGGTGGGTGTGCACCTGACCAATGGGGCTGGGTGGTTTAATTGCTCAAGCCTGGCATTGTTCAGGATCAGTGATGTTGGGAACCATAAGGGCCTTTCTCGGGAGAGGGGGCATGCATTCCCAAGGGACCAAACTTGGGGGAACCCCCAAAGGCAGGGCATGCCCTCCAGGCCTTGGAGTCATTTCCATGCCTCCCACCTGCCCTTTTGAAAAAGAAAGCGCATTCAAAAACCTAAGCAAGGGGCTGGAGCAATAGCACAGCAGGTATGGTGTTTGCCTTGCATGCAGCTGACCCAGGTTCGATCCCCAGCACCCCATATGGTCCCCCAGCACCACAAGGAGCAATTCCTGAGTGCAGAGCCAGGAGTAACCCCTGAGCATTGCTGGGTGCGACCCAAAAAGCAGAAAAACAACAACAACAACAACAACCAAAATGTAAGCAAAAAGATCACTTTTAGGGGCTGGAGAGACAGTACTGACGCTTATCTTCCACATGACTGATCCGGGTTCAATCCCCGGAATCCCATATATTTTCTGAGCTTTGCTAGGAGTGATTCCTGAGTGCAGAGTAAGGAATAAGCCCTGGGTATCTACAAGGTGTACCTCCCCTCACCTCTACCCTCCAAGTAAGTAGAACTGGAGAGACAGTACAGAGGGTAGGATGTTTGCCTTGCACTCAGCCAACCAGGGCTCTGTCCTTGGCATTCCACATGTTCTCTTATGGATTCCTGAGTGCAGAGCCAGGAGGAAGCCCTGAGCACCGCTGGGAATAGCCCCAAAACAGAACCCCCAAAAAGGTAATAACAAAGTCGTGCTAGGATTGCCCTCAGGCTCCTACACACAGCTCCTCTGTCTAGTCCTTTGGATCACCTCCATGGCCTTCGGGGAACTTTGGAATTCCACTTTCTGGATGAGGAAGCAGACGGAAGAGACAGGGCAGTGGTCACGGCGCTTGCCTTGCAGGCACTTGACCTCAACTCTATGCCTGGCACCACTGAGGGACCCCAGGGTGCTGGCAGGAGATTCCCAGAGCACAGAACCAGGACAAAGCCCCAGGCACTCTAGATGGACCTCAATACAAATCCCACTTCCTCTCCCCCCTCAGAAAAACAACCCCCCAAAAAGAAAATGGGGGACTCGGAGCGATATTACAGCGGGCAGGGCGTTTGCCTTGCACATGGCCGACCCGGGTTCAGACCCTGGCATCCCATATGGTCCCCCGAGCACTGCCAGGAGTGATTCCTGAGTGCAGAGACAGGACTAAGCCCTGAGCATCGCTGGGTGTGACCCAAAAAGCAAAAAAAAAAAAAAAGAAGAAGAAGAAGAAGATGGGAGGGGACCAGTGGAGTGCCCTATCCGAGGACATAAGGTCCAGCGGGGGCGGGAGAAGAAAGCCAGGTGGGGGTGGGGATGCCCAGCCCCTCACTCGCGCACCCCATGCCCTCCGACCCAGGTGGCCAAGCAGGAGGAGTTCTTCAACCTGTCCCACTGCCAGCTGGTGACGCTCATCAGCAGGGACGACCTGAATGTCCGCTGCGAGTCCGAGGTGTTCCACGCCTGCATCAACTGGGTCAAGTACGACTGCGAGCAGCGGCGCTTCTACGTGCAGGCGCTGCTGCGCGCCGTGCGCTGCCACTCACTCACGCCGCACTTCCTGCAGCTGCAGCTGCAGAAGTGCGAGATCCTGCAGTCGGACTCGCGCTGCAAGGACTACCTGGTGAAGATCTTCCAGGAGCTCACCCTGCACAAGCCCACGCAGGTGATGCCCTGCCGCGCGCCCAAGGTGGGCCGCCTCATCTACACGGCCGGCGGCTACTTCCGCCAGTCGCTCAGCTACCTGGAGGCGTACAACCCGAGCGACGGCTCGTGGCTGCGTCTGGCTGACCTGCAGGTGCCCCGCAGTGGCCTTGCGGGCTGCGTGGTGGGCGGGCTGCTCTACGCCGTGGGCGGCCGCAACAACTCCCCCGACGGCAACACGGACTCCAACGCCCTGGACTGCTACAACCCCATGACCAACCAGTGGTCGCCCTGCGCCCCCATGAGCGTGCCGCGCAACCGCATCGGGGTGGGCGTCATCGACGGGCACATCTATGCCGTGGGCGGTTCGCATGGCTGCATCCACCACAACAGCGTCGAGAGGTGAGTGGCCGCAGCGAGGAAAATTCCCCTTTCCTGGGAGATTTCCTTTTTTTTGCGGGGTGGGGGGGATTACCCACCTAGAGATGCTCAGAAGTTGCTCCTCGTTCTGCGCTGAGGAGTGACGCCTGGTGACGCTAGGGGGAGCCTGCCGGATGCCAAGATGGAACCGGGTGGGCTGCGTGCAAGGTCTGCGCCCTCCCGGCTGTCCTAGTGCTCTGGACCCGCGTTGTGCGAGTTCTGGGCAGAGAGTTTTCTTGCAAATGGAGGGAGGGGGGACTTCCGGGGCTGGAGTGATAGTATAGAGGGGCGGGTGTTTGCCTTGCGTGCCATTGATCAGGGTTCAATCCCTGGCATCCCATATGGTCCCCAAGCCCCGCTAGGAGTAATTCCTTCTTTTTTTTTTGCTTTTTGGGTCACACCCGGCGATGCACAGGGGTTACTCCTGGCTCTGCACTCAGGAATTACCCCTGGCAGTGCTCAGGGAACCATATGGGATGCTGGGAATCGAGCCCGGGTCGGCTGCGTGCAAGGCAAACACCCTACCTGCTGTGCTATTTCTCCAGCCCCCAGGAGTAATTCCTGAGTACAAAGCCAGGAGTAACTCCTGTGCATTGCAGGGTGTGACCCAAGAAGCCAAAAAAAAAAAAAAAATGGGGGGCTTTCTGGAGCTGACTTTGTGATGAGGTGGGAAATACCCGCCTGGGGCCTGAGCTATTTAGTACAGGAGGGTCAGGCACTTGCCCCGCGCACCCCGAGAAACCACAATTTAGCCGCAGAGGTGCCAGTTGTTTGCCCCTGAGCACAGAGAAAGGAACCCCAGGCTGCCACGGCTGTCAGACTGGCTCCTTTAGGGAAAACACTTGCTAAATTCATGTTACCCTTTGTCCGGCTAGTGCTGGGAGGGGTCCGGAGAGACAGCACAGCAGGCAGGGTGCTTGCCTTGCGCCCGGAAGACCCCGGTTCGATTTCCGGCATCCCATAAGGTCCTCTAAGTAATTCCTGGGCACATCTACGCCACGCAGAGTGCAGAGCCAGGAGTAATCCTTGAGCACGGTCAGGTGTGGCCCCCAAATAAAATGAAACAAAAATAACACGGAGATAACGTGGACGTTGTTGGGATAAACGGGTCGGGCCTCTTGGGCCTGATGTGCGGAGCCCAGGGGCAGTGCCCTCCACGTGATGACCCTGAGTCTGGGGCTTTTTCCATTTAGGGTACACTGGCTCTGTGCTCAGGGGTGACCCTGGAGGAGGAAGTGGCAGGGGGCGGGCAGCGCCCTGATGGCCGCTCCTCTGTGCCTCACCCTGGGTCCCCTGCAGGTATGAGCCCGAGCGTGATGAGTGGCACCTGGTGGCCCCAATGCTGACCCGGAGGATCGGGGTGGGCGTGGCCGTCCTCAACCGGCTGCTGTACGCCATCGGGGGCTTCGACGGGACGAACCGCCTCAACTCGGCCGAGTGTTACTACCCGGAGCGGAACGAGTGGCGCATGATCACGCCCATGAACAGCATCCGCAGCGGGGCAGGTAGGCAGGGTCCGGGCTGGCGCGGGGACCGGGAGGCCGGGCTGCTCCTCACCGCCGCCGCCTGCTGTGGCTAGGGGTCTGCGTCCTGCACAACGCCATTTACGCCGCGGGGGGCTACGACGGGCAGTACCAGCTCAACAGCGTGGAGCGCTACGACGTGGAGACGGAGACGTGGACGTTCGTGGCCCCCATGAGGCACCGGCGCAGCGCCCTGGGGATCACCGTGCACCAAGGCAGGATCTACGTTCTCGGTGAGGTCCGGGGCGGGGCGGTGGGCCTGGAAGTCCCCGACACCCCCGCCGGGCCGGGCCAGCTCCGATCCTTCTGGAAGTTTCCACCCCCACATGCCCCCGCCCCCGCCCATCCCCTGCTCTTGGGCGCGAGGGACCCAGCCGTCTGCCCCTCCCTGCAGGCGGCTACGACGGTCACACGTTCCTGGACAGCGTGGAGTGCTACGACCCGGACACGGACACGTGGGCAGAGGTGACGCGCATGACTTCGGGCCGCAGCGGGGTGGGCGCCGCGGTGACTATGGAGCCGTGCCGGAAGCAGATCGACCAGCAGAGCTGCACATGCTGAGCCCTTCGTTGGCGTCTCCGGCGGAGAAAACAACCACGGAACGCAGACAAGACGCCCCACCCCGCCGCCCCCTTGTCAGCAAACCGAGGGTCCTGTTGCAGAGTGTTGCTGTACCCCCAAAAGTCAGGGGCGAAAGCCTGTCCTGCCGCCGGGAGGCCGGGACACCACAGTGTTAGGACAGCTGGAGAGAAAAGAAAGGGGGACCCCAGGAGGGGCCCTGACCCCCATTCCTCCTATTCTAGCTGCCGCTTCCTCTGGGGTACCAGAGTGCTGTGTTGGGGGGGCAGGCTCAGGCTGGTTGAGCAACTGGTGTCTGTGATTGGATCATGGAGGTTCCCCAGAGGGGTGGCCCCCAGGCTTGGGCCTGTTACCCAGCACCTTGGCTACTTCACCCCAGGACTGACATTTTGTTAATAAGTAGCCCTGTAACTTTCCAATGAAAATAAAGAACAAACTAACAGTGTCTTCCAGCCTGGCTCCCTCCTGCCCCAATCTTTGCTCCAGGGCTTGGGTTTCAAACCAGTTTTTTTATCTGCCCCTCATCTCTGCCAGGCGCCAGCCCTATCGCCCTGTCCCGGGCCACACAGGTGCGCTTTTGGTTTTTGGGTCACACCCAGTGATGCTCAGGGCTTAAAATTCTGGCTCTGCACTCAGCAATTACTCCTGGGGGTGCTTGGGGGACCCTATGGGATGCCGGGGATCAAACCCAGGTGGGCCTCTGCACAAGGCCAACACTTTCCTCGTTGTTCTATCACTCCAGCCCATCACCGTTTTTTGTTTTTATTGTTGTTGTTGGCATCTTATTATCTAGTTCTTACTCTGGAGAACCCGGCAGGCTACCGAAAGCATCCTGCCCTCATGGCAGAGTCTGGCAAACTCCCCGTGGCATACTCAATATGACAAATACCAGTAATGATAATGGGTCTCATTCTCCTGACCCTGAAAGTGCCTTGAATATGGCACTTTCTAAAATCTCAAGGGCTAGGATGAAGGAGACGTCACTGGTGCCTGCTCGAGGAAATCGATGAACAACAGGATGATAGGGATCGTGATTGTTGGTTTGAGGGCGTTCAGGGCCTACTCCTGGCTTTCACTGAGTGATCACACCTGGCAGGCTTGGGGGACTCTGCAGGGTACTGGAGATTGAACCCGGGTTGGCTGCTTGCAAGGCAAATGCCTTTACCCACTGTACTGTCACTTCGATCCAACAAGGCTCACTTTGTCCCTCTCAGTCACTTTGGGGCTGTGGCTTCCCTCCCCATGTCCCCTACTCCTTGAGTTCCCTGAGGATCCCAGGGCCATAGACTGTGGTGGTGGTGTGCTGTCCACAACTGCTCTAAGGGGCCGCTCCTGGTGATATGCCCGACGGTGCCTGGCCTGGTGATCAAAGGTTGTGGAAGGGGCAGGAGGCAGAGATAGTACAATGAATAAGGCTCCATGTATCAGCAGACATGGATTCCATACCCAGCATTCCCATAGTCTTCCAAGCCCTGCCAGAAGTGAGCACCAAGCCCAGAGTAAGCTCTGAGCACACCAGGTGTTGCCCAAAATTTAGAAAAAGGGAAAAAGCAGGTGGGATGGAAAAAATTGATACACTTCACATTTCTTGCTTGCTTTGGGGTCACACTCTGCTGTGCTCAGATTTTGAGCCTGGGTCTGGAACAGAGGGCCACATGGGTTGCTGGGAACTGAAGCCGGGTCAGCCACATGCAAGGCAATCGCTCTGCCTGCTGAGCTATCGGATACTCAGGCCCTAAATGGGTACACTTTATAATAAGGCATGCCTTCGGGTTCCAGAAACAAAGCCACCGCGTTTCTCATTCGCTGTCTTCTCAATGAATGACAACTGAGACCGCCAATCGCAGTGCGGGGGGTGGAATCTCAGGCGTGTCCCCCCTCCTCACTGTCCTCCAAGTCTGCGCATGCGTGCCTTTCTGGCCTTGCTGTAGTTTCCCAGCTACACTCCAGGGGGCGCTCGGAGGTTTGAGCTTCCGGTTTCGTCTCCTTCCTTGCCTGACTTAATTTATGAAAGCAACAATCTGGGTTTTTTTTTTTTTTTTGCACCAAGTACGACAATGTGTGTAAAAACAGTTCCTGGCATGTAATAATCGTTCACTGACGCTGATCTGTTAATTTGCATTTTGCAGCGAGGGAAACTGAAGCACCGGGTGAGTGAGTAACTTATCGCATATTAACCCAGTTATTAGCGAGTGAAGTGCTTATCAGCCACGCCTTTGTGACTCCTAGATAACAGATTCCAGCTGACATTTCTTTCTTTCTTTCTTTTTTTTTCCCACATCCGGCGGTGCTCAGGGCTTACTCCAATCGCTGCACTCAAGAATTACTTCTGTTGTGCGTGAGGAACTTTATGGGATTATGTGATGTTGGAATTGGGAATGAATCTACGTCAGCCTCGTGTTTAGAGTCCACCCAGGCACGCACACTTTTTTTTTTTGAGTCACACCCCGCGATGGTCAAGGGTTGCTCCTGGCTCTGCACTCAGAAATTACTCCTGGCGGTGCTCTGGGGACCATATGGGATGCTGGGAATCCAACCCCGGTCCGCCGCGTGCAAGGCAAACACACTCTGCCCTCTATGCTATCACTCCAGCCCCACACACTTTTTTTTTTTTTTGCTTTTTGGGTCACACTCGGCGATGCTCAGGGGTTACTCCTGGGTCATGAACTCAGGAATTAGTCCTGGCGGTGCTCGGGGGACCATATGGGATGCTGGGAATCGAACCCAGGTCAGCCATGTTGGCTGCGTGCAAGGCAAACGCCCTCCCTGCTGTGCTATCGCTCCAGCCCCCCCCACACTTTTTTTTAAGGTGGGGGCAACATCTGGTTGTGGTTAGGGATCCCTCCTTGCAGTGATTTACAGGATCCTATGTGGTGTCGATGATAAAACCCAGCCCTCAGAGCACTGCCAGGAGTGATCCCTGAGTACAGAGGTAGGAGTAAGCCCTGAGCACTGCTGGGCGTGGCTAAAAGAAAAAAATAGAAAAATGGAAAAAAATCTGTAGGGGGCTGGAGAGAGCTCAACAAACCGAGCTCATGAACTGGGTTCGATCCTGAACACCGCATGGTCTGCTGACCACTGCCAGGAGCAACCTCAGACCTCTGTGGCTCCTGGGAACCTAACACTCAAACCAGAGAAAAAGGCTGTGTGTGTGGCGAAGTCCTTAGCCCGAGCCAAGGAACCTCTGAGGCAGGAGGCAGCTTCAGAGAATGAGTTAGTTCCATCCCTCCTCTGGTCCCCGCATCTGTTCTGATCACAAGATCTTCTGCCCCATCCCCTGGCTCACCTCTTTTTTTTTCTTTTTTTTTGCTTTATGGTCACACCCAGCGATGCACAGTGGTTACTCCTGGCTCTGCATCAGGAATTACTCCTGGCGGCGCTCAGGGGACCGCATGGGATGCTGGGAATCGAACCCAGGTCAGTTGCGCGCAAGGCAAACGCACTCCCCGCTGTGCTATTGCTCCAGCCTCCCCCGCCCCTTCCCACTCACCTTTGCCTGAAAAAAAGATGAATTGACCACAGGGAAAACTTTCAGTCAGGAGCACCTCTGGCCTTTGACCCACATTCTCAGGTCTCATGCGCCATTCCACCGCCCCCCCGCCCCCACTGTATGTGGGTTATCCAGTCTGCCCCACTTCTCCTTGGGGAAACTAAGGCACAGGGCCAAAAAGGCTCTTCCCAGGGCCACCCAGCCCTCCCCAGCAGCCCTGACCGTCTCGACACCCTTTCCCCAGCTCTCCCTCCCTGGGGCCTGGGGTCTCTCCTTTTCTTTTTTTCTCTTCTGGTTTTTGGGCCGCACCCAGCACCCAGCACTGCTCTGGGGTTACTTCTGGTTCTGGGCTCAGGAATCAGGAATCACTCCTGACAGTGCTTGGGAGACCCTATGGGATGCTGGGGATCGAACCTGGGTCAGCCTCAAGCAAGGCAAGCGCCCTCCCCGCTGTATGTTGCTCTGCCCCCTGCTTCTTATACCAAGTTCAGATTCCCTAAAGGTGGCGTGACTAGTACCGACTTCTCTGCCTCGCCTTACCCCACTGGGCCCCGGAATGACCGCACTGCTCAGCCACAGTCAAGCAGAACCTCGGGAAAGTGGACGGTCATTTGGGAGGAGGGGTTTGGTGCCTGTGGCCCCCAAGATGCTCAGGGATTACTCTGGCTGTGCTCGGGGGACCCTGTGTGGTGCTTGGCATTAAACATGTGCCAAACAAGGGCCTTAAGCCTGTACTGTCAGGCCCTCCCCCACCTCCGAGGTTGGAGTGAATGTGAGGTGCCCAAGGCCTAAGAGTGGCCTCCACTGTTCTTGTTTTTGGGCCACACTTGGCTATACTCAGGGGTTATTCCTGGAGGCCCATGGGGCCCCCTGTGGGATCCCGGGAATCAAACCCTGGTCAGCTGCATAGAAGGCAAACTCCCTCCCTCCTGTCCTATCACTCTGGCCCCGGAGTCCACTGTTTTTTTTTTTTTTAAAGAGGATATTTATATTTTATTTTTTTGCTTTTCGGGTCGCACCCAGCATTGCACAGGGGTTACTCCTGGCTCATGTACTCAGGAATTACTCCCGGCGGTGCTCAGGGGACCATATGGGATGATGGGAATTGAACCCGGATCGGCCGTGTGCAAAGCAAATGCCCTACCCACAGTGCTATCACTCCAGCCCCCGGAGTCCACTATGTTCTGAACGGGAGAATCAAACTGACCACCCGGCCAATTCTGAACCTCCTACTAGGCTCTCCGCACCCCTCAATGCTAACTGACCGGGGGGTAGGCTCTGAACCCCCCTTCCCCATCCCAGACTCGAGAGAGACGACAAGAAACTCAGACACGCACCAGGCTGGGAAAAGCCTGTTTAATCGGAGACGGTCAGGGAATTGATTCTCAGTCTCCAGATCGATGATGGATTGATCGATTGGCAGAGAGGCCAACAGCTCCTGGGTGCCCGTCCCGTGCTGGTCCCCCACAGGGGTAGGAGTCCTGATGTGGGGGGTCCCCCCAGTCTGAGCCACCTGGCCTGGGGGAATAGGGGTGCAGCTGGGTGCCCCCCTCTCCCCTCACTGCTTCAATGACTCAAGTTCCCATCACAAGCAGTAAATCCGTGCCGGAAGGGGGGGGGGTCTATGGTACAGTTAATATAATACAACAGGAGGGGGCTCATCTCCTGCCGGGAGACCGCCCTGCCTCTCACGCCCTCCTTCCGTGGCTGGCTCAACCACACGAAGGGCTGGTTTAGTTTGTTTCCCTTTTTTGCCTCTAAAATAATTTACAAACCAACCTTACAGTATGTACAAAAAAAAAAGGAAGAAAAGAAACAGAAAATAACACCCCCCCCAAAAAAGTCCACAAATATAGCCCAGCTTGGTCACGCTACCAAAAGTGAACCCTGTATAGCGTGGAGGTGGGGGGTGGGGGGGTTCCCAGCTGGGATGGACGGACAGATGGACAGAGGGGTAAATTGAGGTACAGTACCAATGAGCTTGGAGAGAAAGGGTGGAAGGGGGAGCTTTTCTTCCAAACACCCCCCATGGCTTGGCGGAAGATGGAGACCCCTGCACTGGAGTCGTATTGCTGAGGAGGAACGACTTTGGGGGGCGTGGGGGGGCAAGGGAAGGACAGGGGCCAGGAGCACGGACTTTGGTGTGTGGGGGGGGGGGAGGTGGGCTGCCCAGAAAGGGGACGTGGGGTACACGTTATTGCTTCCTCCCAGGACACAGGGTCTGGGGTGCGGGGTGGGTGGGGAGCAGGGTGCCCAGGAAGGGGGTGCTCTGGGCCTGGACCCACCTCCCCCCGCCTCCGGTCTCCCAGGACTGATCCTTAAGGCAGAAACAAGAGGAAAAGCAGCTAGAAGGGGGGGAGCCCCACGGCTCGGCGCCAGCCCCCCCCAAACAGACAATTCAGAAGAACCCAAGTGGAAAAGGAAAGGGGGTGAGAAGCAGAGGGAGGGGGGCAGTTCAGGCCTACCCCACGCCTTGGCTGGCCAGCCTGTGGCTCCCTGGCACCCCAGACCCCACAGTCACCGCCCCCCAGGATTTCCAGGTTTGTGCAAAATGAGGCAGAAAACTTGGAGGGAGGGGGAGGGGCAGGAGCTGGGGCCGCCCCCCAACTCCGGACCCCCCCAATGGCTATTCCTGGCGGTTTGTACTGGAGTGCCCCCAGAGTCGGAGAAACCTGCTTGGGCCGGGGCCCACCCAGACCCCAAGAGGCCGGAAGACAGAACTGGGGGGCGCGGGGGGGGGCTGCAGAGGGGTGCCGGTGAGGGGGAGTGTTTGCATCTACAGTAGCTGAGTTTCATCCTGGTTAAATGTCTGGTTTCTTTTTTTTTTCTTATTTTTTCTTTTTTCCTAAAAAAATGTAACAATGAAAATTCAAAAAAATAAAATCCCTTTGGGCCCCTGGGCCCCTCGCTCCCCAGCCCCCACCTCCAAAGAGAGGCCCCTACGGGCGGTGGGGGGTGGGGAGGAAGGAGAAAAAAAAGAAAAGAGAAAAAAAAAACCCACATTTCTGTTTTCTTTTTTCTCAGGAGGCCCCAGAGTCTGTGAGGCAGTGGAAGAGATGAAGTGGGGGGCCGGCGGGGGGGCTGGGGAGGCAGGCAGGGGCGGCCGGGGTTCAGGGAGGGCCAGGGGAACCCCATCCGCCACGGGCAGGGGTCGGGGGCGGCTCCTCGCGGGGCGCGCCCGGGCTCCCGCCGCAGACGCTGCACCCCTTCTCCCGCTTGGCAGCCGGAAGCTCTTGCAGAGGCCCCCCCTCGGCCGCCGTGCAGGGGGGGCCGGGGAAGCCCGGGGCCGCCTCGGGCAGGGAGGGGGTCCTCAAGGCAGGCGGGGCCGGGGCGCCACCGCTCGCATCAGCATCAGCATCCGCATCCGTATCCACATCCGCATCCGCATCCGCATCCCTCGCGGGCCCGCGGGCCGCCCAGGCCAAGCGCGCGGGCTCCTGGACACCCGCGGCCGGGGTGGTCCTGCCCTCCTCGTCTTCCTCCTCCAGCGTCAACTCAAACTGGAACCTGTCGGCGGGCGGCGGCTGCCCCGGGCCGCGGGGCTCCTCGTCGGGGGGCGGCGGGGACGGGCTCTGGCGGATGGCGTTGTAGTACCAGTCCCGGTTGTCTTCCAGGGTGTCCAGGATTTCCTGGGCGTCGGGGTGGACGAGGTCAGCCCACGTCTCCCACAGCGGGTGTACGATATAGTCGATGAACCCCACCTGCGTGGTGGGGTGGGGAGAGAAGGGGAGGGAGCCCGATTAATCCCATCTCCAAACTGCTGTTCCCTTTGCCTGCCTGAGAGCCCAGCCAGGCGTGATGCCTGAGCACAGAACCAGGAGTCAGCCCTGAGCACCACGGGGGTGACCCCCAAATAGTCTTTACTCGCCGGCCCCTCTACATTTCTGATGTGGGGGCTGGAGCGATAGCACAGCCCATAGGGCAGTTGCCTTAGCCGGTAGGGCGTTTGCCTTGCACACTGTGGACCTGGGTTCCATCCCCAGCATTCCATACAGTCCCTGGAGCTCCACCAGGAGTGATTCCTGAGTGCAGAGCCAGGAGGAACCCCTGAGCATCTCCAGGTGTGACACACACACACAAAAAAAAAAAAAAAACAAGAAAAAAAAAAGATTTCTGGGGCCGGAGTGATAGTACAGCGGGTAGGGGGTTTGCCTTGCATGCGGCTAACCCAGTTTGATTCCCAACATCCCATAGGGTCCCCCGAGCACCACCAGGAGTAATTCCTGAGTGCAGAGCCAGGAGTAACCCCTGTGCATTGCCAGGTGTGACCCAAAAAGGAAAAAAAAACATTTCTGAAGTAAGAGAGGAGGGGGTTAGCTTGATCAAAACCATGAATTTTTGGGAGGAGGGGGGGTGGACCACACCTCATGGTGCTAGGTGCAATATATGCCAACATATGTACTACAACGCCATCCGCCAGAGCCCGTCGCCGCCCCCCCGCCCCCCGCCCGTCGAGGAGCCCCGCGGCCTGGGGCAGCCGCCGCCCGCCGACAGGTTCCAGTTTGACGGGTGCCCAGGAGCCCGCGCGCTTGGCCTGGGCGGCCCGCGGGCCCGCGACGGATGCGGATGCGATATGGGATGCTGGGGATCAAACCTAGGTCAGATGCGTACAAGGCCAGCAACTCTCTATACTAGATCTCTATGTGAATTCTTTTTTTTTTTTAACTTTTGTGTGTTTTGAGAGGTGGGGGCACACCTGGCTCTGCTCAGGGATCACTCTTGGCTGTGCTTAGGGCTCCAACCTAGTTGGCTGTGTGCAAATCAAATACCCACTGTACTACTGCTCCAGTCCCCTAAGCTCTGTGAACTTTTTTGCCGGGGTGCCACACCTAGTGATGTTCAAGGTTTACTTATGGCTTTGCACTCAGAAATTACTCCTGGCGGTGCTCAGGGACTGGGGTGACCGGGACTGAACCCAGTTCAGCTGCAAGACAAGCGCCCTACCTGCTGGACTATCTCTCTTTGGTTCATACCCAGTGAGCTCTTGGGTTACTCCTGGCTCGACACTCAGAAAGTATTCCTGACAGTGCTTGGGGACCCTATGGGATGCCGGGATGCTGGGAAATCAAACCTGGGTCAGCCCTCCCCGGTGGACTATTGCTCCAGCCTGGTCCCAGGATTCCTAACTGCTAAACGTTTCAATGTTCCAGGGAATGGTGTGTTTGGAGCAACGTTCTAGCCTTATAAGGATATGCTCACGTGAGTTCAAATCCACACATGCTCAGCACAGTCCTGGCAGTTCTGCAATCTCCTTCCCAGAAAGGAGTGTCACATACAAAGGCAAGTGTACAGCCGGTGGCCAGCACCCACCCTCTACGGAGATACGCAAGCGGCACAGCCAAGAAGGGCGGCCCCTGGCGGGCATGTGTGAGCACTGCAGAGAACCTTCCTTCTCTGGCCTGTTCCCCCAACTCGAACGTGTGAGAACCCAGCATGGAGAGTTCTGGCTTGCGGGTGCCGGCTGCGGGGGCTCCCTGACCGTACCTGGGACTTCTCTACAGAGGCTGTGTGCTTGTCGCACATGGGGCTGATCTCCATGCCCCGCTCCCGCTCCCGGTCACCCTGCTGGAAGAACTCGGCCATGATCCGGTCTGTCCACTGGCGATACAGTTCCAGTGGCTTGGTGGGGTTGCTGAGGTCGGCGCAGTGTACCATGTTCCGGAGTACCTGTGTAGGGTGGCTGCGTCAGAAGGCGGCGGCCCTGATCGTATTGAGAATCTCAGACTTCCACACCTACCCGTTTCACTGTGAGGCAGGGCTGGGGGGAGGAGGGGAAGGAGATGGGCATGTATTGACTTGGAGAACAAAGAAGGAATGGGAAGGAGCAGGAATGGAAAAAGGAAGACGGTTGGAAGAGGAAGGTGGACAGCCAGAGCTGTAGCACACAGCTGGGCATTTGTCTTGCATATGGCAAACCTGGCTTCCATCTTTGGTACCCCAATAAGCCTGGCAGGAGTGCAGAGCCAGGAGTCAGCCCTGAACATCGCTGGGTGTGCACCCCCCAAAAAAGAAAGGGGAAGATGGGAGAGACAGGTAAGTGGCTCTCCAGAGGCAGAGGGAGGAGTACACTCCAAACCTGAAGAGGGAGAAGGGGGCACATGGGGAGCACCTGGATGCGGTCGGAATAGTTGTCTAGTAGGAGAACGCCTGAGCTGGTCACTTTCTTAGTTTCCACCATGGTCTTCAGGTCGGCTAGGAGGGTCATGTGCTTGGACATATCCGTGGCCAGCACCTACAAATAAGTGGGGGCAGGGCACAGATGAAGGAAGCCTTGCCACCTCCCCTCGCTGAACCAAGCCACCGTGCCTCTGAGGTTTGCATAACCTGTCCTCACAGGGACCCAGAGGTCGCTCCTGGTCTCTGATCTTGGCCTCAGCAGCGGGTTTGAGGTCTTGGGAAAGTGCCCCTTTTGCACAACCACCCAGCGCTGGCCCCGCTCCCCAGCCCTTCCCCGCCCTCCACCCCACTTCAGACCCTGACCCGGACCCTTCCCCTCAGGCCCCGCCCACCAGCCTTTCCCCGCCGTGGCTCCACCTCCAGTCAGGCCCCGCCCACCGCCCAGCTCCAGAACCTCCCCCGCTTAGACCCCACTACCAATCAGGCTCACCCTCTGATAATCCTTCGCCCCTCAGGCCCTGCCCCCAGCTCTTCACGTCCTCCTCCTTCCTGCTCTGGCCCCGCCCCCTTCCAGACTCATCCTGTAAGCCATCATTGCTCTGGCCCCGCCCTCCAATCACCTGCCAGGCCCCGCCCACAAGCCTTTCTTCGCCCTCCAATCAATCCGTCCTGGTTTCTCCAGAGACCCGCCCTCCACTCCACTCCGCTCCGGCCCGCCCCCCCCACCCCCCAGCGCCCGGCCCGGCCCCACCCACCATGTCTATGACCATCTTGCGCAGACTCTGTCGCTGACGCTTGCTGAGGTTCTGGAAAATATCGCAGTTGTCCTCCTGCAGCAGCTTGAAGCCCACGGCCAGGTGGTGGTTCTCCAGCACCGACTCGTCGTTGTACATGAGCGCCAGCTCCGAGTCTGCGGCCAAGGCGGGATGCGGGGGTTGGTGGTCCGGGGTGGCTGGGGCAGCCTCTCGGGCCCCATCCCCCGGGGCACCCACTCACTGGTGTTGATGAGGAACTGGTTCGAGACTCCAGGGTGGTCGACGTCATGGATGGCGGCCGCGAACAGGGCAGCAAGAATCTCCAGGTCAGTGAACACGGCCTGGGGTCCGAGAGGAATCAAAGAATGAGGGGCTCCCTTGCAAGGGCCCCGCGGGCAGATGTGCACCGTTGGCCAGAACCTGAAGTAAGTCTTGCCTGCACGAGCCCGTGTTCTCCCTTGAACACAGCCGAGTTCCTCTCTTTCTCTGCCTTTCTTTGTCTTTCTAAGTAAATTTTGTTCAAGAGGAGCTGGAGCGATAGGACCACGTGGAGGGCGCTTGCTTGGAAACGGACATGGTCACCCGGGTTCGATCCCCAGCATCCCATGTGCACCACCAGGAGTGATCCTGAGTGCAGAGCCAGGAGTAACCCCTGAGCATCTCCTGGTGTGGCTCAAAAAGGGGGAAGAATGTTAAAGAAAAACTATCTTGGGACCGGAGCAATAGTACAGCGGGTAGGGGGTTTGCCTTGCACGCGGCCGACCCGGGTTCGGGCTCCGGCATCCCATATGGTCCCCCAAGCTCTACCAGGAGTAACCCCGTGCATCGCCGGGTGTGACCCAAAAAGCAGAAAAAAAAAAAAAGAAAAACTATCTTGCTTTGGGGGCCGGAGTAAGTGACCGACCCAAGTTTGATTTCTGCATCCCATATGGCCCTCTGAGCACATGATCCCTGTGTGTTAATATCCTGCTCTTTGTCACTCCTATATCTAGTGAGGTGAAGAGGGCATGAAGTGACGGGCATGCACCCATGGATGCTGGTGAGAAATGCTCCTCTGAGGGACCAGAGATATAATACAACGGGTAGGCCACCTGCCTTCATGCGGCCAACCCAGGTTCAATTCCAGCAGCCCACAGAGTCTCCTGAGTCCGTCAGGAGTAGTTCCTGAATACGAAGCCATGTGCAACTCGAGCACTGCAGGATGTGACCAACATTTTAAAAATTAGGGGACTGGAGTGACAGTACAGCGGGTAGGGCATTTGCCTTGCATGCAGCTGACCTCGGTATGATCCCCAACATCTCATATGGTCTCTGGAGCACCGCCAGGAGTAATTCCTGCGTGCAGAGCCAGGAATAACCCCTGAGCATCGCTGGTTGTGACCCAAAAGCAAAAGTAAAATAATTTCAAAAAGGAAGTGGGGTTTGGAGGACAAAACTGGCTGCGCTCAGCGGACTGAAAAGTCCCTCCGGTCACTCCATGGTCCCTTCTGCACTGCAAGGAGGAGCACCTCCTCCCCCACCCCCATTGTCCCAAATACCCCAAGAGAGGGTTGGAAGGGGCTGGGCAGAGGCTGGAGGGCTTTAGGGTTAGAGAGGAAGGATGAGAGAGCGCATGGCAGCGGGCAAGCTGGAGCCGGGAGCCCTGGCACGGAGAGGGACCAGGAGGGACAGGCAAGGCTCACGTCCAGCGCGGGGGTGGCCAGCAGCACGTGGGTGGACTGGAGCACATCGGCGGCGTGCAGGCTGTTGTGGTAGGCCACGTCTGCGTGGTAGTGCTCCTCCAGAGTGAGCATGTAGGTGATCATGGTGTCCACAGGGATGCGGAACTTTCTCAGCAGATCTCGCTCCTGTGGGAAGCGGGCAGGGAGCGTGGGTGACCGGCCTGCTGGAAGCGGGCAGGAAGGGTGGGGGACCATCCTGTGGGACCCCACTCCCTGGGCCTGGCCCCACCTGGAAGATGGTATACATAATGCAGCTAAGCGAGTGGCCGCCGGCGTAATCAGAGACGCAGAAGATATTCAGGCCCCACTTGTTGAGGTTCTCCAGTTCCTGGGAAGGAGGGAGGGGTGCGGGGGGCCTAGGTCAGGGGCCTTGAGGCCCAGGGGGCCCTCGATCCTTCCCCCCCCAGCTCCGTTCGTGTTCCTCAGCATGGCGGAATTCTCTGCCCAGAACTCCAGCTCACACGTGGAGACTCAGCCATGCCCACTGGTGGACCCTGCCCCCCTCTAGGGCTTGCTCAGCCTTAGAACTTCGGGGCTCCCAAGCGCCAGGGCAGAGGGGAAGACTTAGGTTCATTTTCTGTCTCTGCCAGGATGTCCAGACATGGAAAGTCTCTGGCAACTTGTTCTTGCGTGGTAATGAAAATGGAGATGCAGTTGGGCTCATTTTGGGGTGCAAGTGCCAGAGATAAGGCCTGACGCTCACGCCTGGCAGGTACGGGCTGGGTTTGAGCCCAGTACCACAGGTCCACCCCTGTACTCCTGGGTACAGCCTTGGTACCTAGCAAAAACATTTGCCCCCAAGCAAAACATTTTGGGATGCATGGGGAAGGGAGTCCTTGGGCTTGAGGTCCTCCAGAAGGGCCAAGAAAGAACCCAGTGGGTAGGTGCTGTTGGGGTTCAATCATAGTCCCCTTGGCTACAATGCACCCAAGGATTGGGGTTTGGAGGCCCCCCAGTCAGTGATACAGAGGGAACCAGGAGCCACAAGCTCAAGGCAAGTAGGGAGGGTGCCCTGACTCGGGCGGAACCCACTCACCCTGGGCTGGGCTGGGGACACCCCCGCCCCCGCCATCTCCCCCACCCCACCTCTCCAGTAAAGACTCCACCCACTTGGGCCAGAAGCTCCTCCTGGTCGGTTTTCACCCCGAAGCGGGGGATACTGAGGTCATTCAAGCTGCTGGTGTGCAAGAGTTTCTTCACCCCCGTGATCTGGGACATGGGTTGAAATTGGGGCCCCGGGGGCAGGGGGTGCTGGGCCAGTCGGGGCCGCAGGGCTGCCTTCTCCCGTTCCTTGGTGCAGGGCGGTGGGGGGATCTCCACTTCGTTCTGCTTGTCTGCAGCAGAGAGGCAGAGCAAGGTCACAGGCCGCCACCCCCCTCCCGCGCCCGCACTCCCACCTCCACCCCAACCCACCCTGGTCCTGCCCTGTGCGCCCCGCACCCCTCAGGCAACCTTACCCAGGAGGGCTGAGGAGCCCTTCTGCGAGTCAGCCTGGGGGGAACCCCCAGGAAGGAAACAGCAGGGGAGGCAACAGTGCTGGGAGGTGGTCTGCGGGACAGGGCACCCCGGGGCTGCCTCCACGCTGGGCTCTGGTCCCAGGACAATGGCCAGGTGGGAAGGGGGGCTGGAAGGGTTGCTCAGTAAGTGGGGTGGGGACGCGAGATGGAGCCTCTGCCCTCCCTGCCCGGCCTGGGCGCCTTCTCGGTCGGAATAAGCGCGCACGTCCACCTTCTCCGGTGGAATAAGCTTGCCGGTGGTGCTGGACAGTGCCGGGGGCAGGGAGGGAAGGGTGGCCTCCGGCTCCATGTCCCCCCCACCCCACCCCGTTGACAGCAGCCTGCGGGGGGGGGGCCAGCCCCTGGAGTCTTATTCCTGAGCTTTCTAGGGCTTCCGGAGCCCACCAGGACCACCCATTGTGACCTGAGGGGGGGCCCCCCACATTTCGATGACTGGACCCAATAGGGGTCATTTGCATGCTGTGCTGTCATTGGCTGGAGCTCAGAACTCAGCTAACCACGCCCCCAGTGGGCGGGGACTTTTGAAACTGATTTGGGAGGAGCTAGCTGGAAAGATGGGGGGCTGGGGGTGTTAGTTTGTGTATTTCTTTTTTAATTTTTGGATTCTGGCCCACACCTCGCTGTGCTCAGGGCTTACTCCTCTACTTTGCGCTTGCGGGGACCCTATCAGGTGCTGGGAATCGAATCTGTGGTAGATCATGCAGCAGAGCAATGCTAAAAAATTCAGGGTAGTATATTGGGTTGGAGGGTTTTGTCAAGTTTGGGGGGTTATTATCATTTCTTTAAAGGGCTGGAGCGATAGCACAGCGGGTAGGGCGTTCGCCTTACACGTGGCCAACATGGCCGACCCGAGTTCGATTCCTCCGCCCCTCTCGGAGAGCCCGGCAAGCTACCGAGAGTATTCGAGATGCCAGACACAGTAACAACAAAGTCTCCAATGGAGACGTTACTGGGCCCGCTCGAGCAAATCGACGATCAACGGGAGGGCCTTTACCTTTACCTTTAAAGTTTGAAAACCCTCACTGGATTGGGCCATTTTGAGTTTGCGGTCCTTCTGAATTTACTGAAGGAAAAGGAAACCCTAATTTTGAGATTCCACTGGATGTCATTTCTGTCTGGTCTAGGAAGCAGTTCATTTCTTTTAAAATTTAAAGAGAAGGAGCAGGGGCTGGAGAGATAAGACAGTGGGTAGGTGCTTGCCTTGCACACAGCCAACCCAGGCCTAACCCCCGCATCCCATATGGTCCCCCCCGGGCACCACCAGGAGTGATCCCTGAGCATCAGCCAGATGTGGTCCCCCAAACCAAATCAAACCAACAAAATGAATTTGTGGAGAGGGTTCGAGCCACACCTGCAGTGCTCGGCGGTCACTCACAGGAGTGCCCAGGGGATTGAAACGAGGTGTCCCCTGTGCAAAGCTGTGCTCCAGCTCTCTGAACCACACCCCAGTTCCTGGGACCCCTTTTTTTTTTACGTTTAATGAGTCTCTTTGACGTTTGGGAGTTTTGTGGGGGTGTTAACTTTTGAGAATCCCATTGGGGTTTCCCTGGGTTTGAAGGAGTCTGTGGATTGAGGCCCTGCTTTTTTTTTTTCTTTTTGGGTCACACCCGGCGATGCGCAGGGGTTACTCCTGGCTCTGCACTCAGGAATTACCCCTGGCGGTGCTCAGGGGACCATATGGGATGCTGGGAATCGAACCCAGGTCGGCCGCGTGCAAGGCAAACACCCTACCCGCTGTGCTATTGCTCCAGCCCCGAGCTCCTGCTTTCACACAAAGCAAATGCATGGGTTCTAGAGAAATTGGGGTCCCACAGAGCTTGTGGGGCGATGGGGGTATGTAGGCTCTGACCTTCAGGGAATGAAGACTCGGGCTCCTTCTGACAAAGGTGGGCAGCAAATTGCAAGCATGTGGGCACCCTCCCCCTGGCGCTGCCCTCCCACCCCCGCTCACCCAGAAATGTAGTAGAAATGTACTCGGAAACTTGGTTTCCAGACCGGCTCATCTCTGAGAGATGGGTGAGCTCACGATTCAGCATCCTCTTGAACTATAGGGAAAGAGGGGAAGGAAGAGTGAGAAGTTCACAGCTGGATGTGGGGTGCCAGCTTCCCTCAAGAAGCTTCTGAAGACCCCAGGACACCCCACTCCTGCTTCCTCAGCCCTCAGGGCACCAGAGGGGAAGCAGGAGGGGAGGGGCCAGCCCCTCCTCTCCCACCTCTGGGAAGGGAGGAAGCACAGGCTTTGGGGGATCAGGCCTCAGAGCCCCCTCCCTGCCTGAGGAGAGGGGTTCCCTTCCCTATATGACACCCCCACCACCAGGAGCCATGGAGGCACCTGTGGAAGGGAGGGGCGCTGTTCTAGCCACCAGCCAATGGGATGTCAGGAGATGCTGTCGCCATGGAGACGGGAGTCTCCTTAGCAACTCCAGCTCCAACCAGGAGCTAAGCTTGGGGGAGAAGGGGGGCAGATTGCCGGCCCCTTAACCCTTGCGTTCCTAGAGCCCCCCAGCCCAGGCTTTCACAGACGCAGACCCCACTCCTGGGAGGGAGGGGGTCTTGGCCCCTGGCCCAGTTTGGCAGGAGAGAATGCAGTAGCCCAACTCTGGGTGAAAAGAAGGTTAGGTGGGGGCTGGGGAGAAGCAAGCACTGAGGAAACACTCATTCAGTTACCCAGGGGAGGGGGGTTCCCTTATAGCCCCCTGGCTCCCTACCACCTCAGAGAAGTGGACACATAAATGGAGCATCCCCCAACCGAGCCGGGGGGGGGCCTTTCTGGGGTCCCCCTCACTCACTTCCTACATGCGTCTGCTGTGACATTGTGTACGGAGGAGAAAGGGCATTGGGTCCCCGCCCCCAAGCTCAGCCTCAGAATCCCTAAAGCAAGAGCAGACTCTGTCCAAACAGGCTGGAGGGACAGAGGGCAGGAAGGGGGCCTGTGTGCCCCCCCCCAGCAGGACAGAAAAACCCTGTGTGCATGTGGGCACACGGGCAGAGTCCTTCAAGGACCCCATGGCCTCCCCAGCCTCCGCCTGGCATACCAGCCTGCATGGACAAACCAAGGGGCATCTGCCTTATGTCACCAGCACTTGGGGTCAGAAGCCCAGGGAAAAACATGCAGCTCCAGGCGCCCTGACAGGGCCTGGCTCACAACTGCATAGTCGGGGCCTCACATGGTCGCAGCCAGGGTGACCCCAAGGAGCAGAAGCTTAAATGCAGACATGCAGACACACACGCACACATTCACTGAGGTTCATACCCGGCCAGGGAGCCCCCAGCCCCAGCCCCATGCCCCCCCCCCACACGCACGCACACACACACACACACACACACACACACACACACACAGAGTCACAAGGCTTCATCTCTGGAGCACACGCCCCACACCAGCCCCAAGGGGGGATGTGAGGGGGTGTCTGGCTTGCCCCACCCTGTGTCCTACCTGATCCCACCAGCCCCCCAGCCAGGGCTTGGAGCACGTCTCGCAGAAGAAATCCACCAAGGGCATCTTGAAGCCTTAGCCCCCCTGCTTGGGGCAGCTGAGCACAGAGCCTGGGCTGGGGGCGGGGGGGGGGGGTGCCCCCGGAAGGTAGGGGTGGGGGAGGGCAAGGGGACTGGCAGGTGGGCAACGGGGGAGCCGCGGAGGGGCCTGGGCCGGCCCAGCTGGGCTGGGGGCTCCCTTCCCCTCCGCGCTCCCGGCGCCAGCCCTGGTTACATCGTCTGCCCGCCCCTGGCCCTGCTGGGCCCCTGCTCAGCAGCAGCTGGACGCGGCCGGGGGACCCTGCCCATGGAGGGGAGGGCAGGGTGAGGGTCCCAGCCGTGCCTCTCAGGAGGCTCTGGCATCCGCGTGAGAGCTGAGAGCCCTCACTGCAGTACTGGGAGCTGCACGACGTCAGGTGGCAGGAGGGGGGGGGGGGCGTTAAAGGGGCCTGAGCTAGCCGCTATCCAGGTGTAGCTGCCAGGGACTGGGGGAGGCACCCTCCCTTGCCCCTCCGCAGTACCGTGAGAGCAGCGGGCTAGAGATGCACCACAAAAAACACTCTCCAAGGACACCAACCCAGGACTGGTGCTGGACACACGTTTTTTGGGGTGACACCTGCCACATCTAGTCACCACTCTGATATACAAAACATTTGGAACTACCACTTGTGTATAGACATAAAAGGCTTTTGGACTCATGTATTTTTTTTTTACTTATGTTTTTCAGTTTTTGGGGGTGCTCAGGGGTTATTCCTGGCTCTGCGCTCAGGAATTATTGCTGGCAGGGCTGGGGGACCCTATGGGATGCTGGGGATCGGACCTAGATCAGCTGTGTGCCAGGCAAGCTCCCTCCCTGCTGTCCTATCACTCCAGCCATAGGGAACCAAAATGTGAACCCCATATGCCACACACGCTCATGGACACACACACACAGACGTACAGTCACATTCTCAGATACTCCAGCACCCCAGGTACACAGTCACCAGCCACACCTGTTCCCAGAGAAGCCCCCCAGTATTCCCCCCCGCCCCCCCCCCCCCCCGTGCTTGCCAAGCTGCCCCCCACAGGGCCTTGGCTCCACTGCACTGGGGCAGGAAGCATAACCCTGCACCCTGGTGTGCTGCCCCCCTGCCATTGTGCAGAGTGGACCCCACACAATCACCCAAACACAACCACAAATTCTTGTCAGCCCGGGGACACACCAGGCAACCAATCGATACAGACATTCATTCATTCACCCACTCCAGCTCTGCAAATCCTGTTTCTACCAGGAGGTCCTGGGCTTCGCCCCGCCCCCAAACTGGCCGCACCCACAACACGCCACGCCCCTCTCCAACAGACCACGCCCACGGTCGCCCCGCCCCGTGAAGGCCCCACCCCTTCCACCTGGCTACAACGGACACGCCCCTGCCCCTGGCCACGCCCAAGGGCGGGTCCCCGGGTTGGCGGCGTCCAATGATGGCCCTACTCTGCAGCTGGTCCCGCCTCCAGGGCCTGCTCACCTTGTGGGAGGCCATCTCGCTCACAGAGCGGTAGGTCTGCATGGTCTCCAGCTGTTCCAGACACCAGTCCAGCTCTTCCAGCGTCTCCCGGGCCAGCTGCTGGCACGTTTCCTCTGGAGAAGGGGCAGTGGGGCACTGAGTGCGACGGGCCAACCAGCGGACCCCCAGAATCCCTCCGAGGAAGCAGGGTGCAGGGAAAGGGGTGACGGCAGCCAGCCTGGATGAAGGACCCCTCCCCCCACATGGGGCAAGGGAGAAGGACCTCGTCCTTCCCTCGCTGGGCGTAGCTACCTGACAGCGTGGCCTTGCAGACGGGGGTTGGACCGCCCAGCGGGGACCGCCTGCAAAGAAAAGGGCTCCCACATCAGCCTGGCCCCCCTCCCCATTCCTGTCCTCCCCCTCTCTGTCAACAATGCCAGCTTTCGGGTCCGGAGTGATAGCACAGCGGGTAGGGCGTTTGCCTTGTACGTGGTCGACCCAGGTTCGATCCCCGGCATCCCATATCCCCAGCACCACCAGGAGTAATTCCTGAGTAAAGAGCCCTGAGTAACCCCTGAGCATCACTGGGTGTGATCCAAAAAGCAAAAACAAAACAATGCCAGCTTTCCTTTTTCTTCGGGGTCACTGTGGCCCCTTCGAGGTGCCAAAGGGCAGACGAGGAAACGAGGCTCAAATTGGTGAAAGACCCTCATCGCCATCACAGGACTGGTGCAAGGTGAGAGGCCTGAGCTGGGCGTCTCGGGGGTCTCTGCCCTGTGACCATCCCTGCCCCCTCCTTCCCTCCTTCCTTGAATCTTCTAAGAAGGGACACCCCATTCCCAAAGGCACTTTCGGGCCTTAGCCACCCCAGGGCCTAAAAAAAAACCCCTATTTAATAAGCACATACTATGTGGCTGGCAAAGTTCTAGCAATTCTCTTTCTTTCCCTTTTTTGGTTCTATTTTTGTATGGGGGCCACACCTGGTGGTGCTCGGGGCATACTCCTGGCTCTGTGCTCAGGGATCTCTCCTGGAAGTGCTCCAGGGACTCTATGTAATGCTGGGAATTGAATAGGGGTCGGCTGCATACAAGAAAAGCACCTTACCCACAGTACTATCTCTGTGGCCATGCTAGCGTATCTCTGAACTCTGGCCACTATGTAAAGGAGGGTATTCGCCCAGCAAGCTGATATGAGAGCCTGGGCTGGGCTACTTCCCCTGATCATGTGCCCAGATTCATCTGTCTCCATAAAAGTCTCTGCATCTCAGGCTTTCCAGTTTTTATGATTACTGGCCAAGGTAGCAGGGGCCAGAATAAAGGCTCAGAGATGTCAGGAGCCTTCCTGAAGTCATGCAGCAAGAGCTGGTGTGTGCGTGTGTGTGGTGGGGGGTCGGGGGGAAGTTGTCACTTACTTGTTGCTGGGTAGGGGGACATTGGTCAGGAGGGAGAAATTGCTGCGGACACTCCGGAGACTGGCCAGCACCTAGGACGGGGAGCGGCCGTGAGGGATGGGGGAGGCTTGGGGCCCCTTCCGTCTTTGGGAGAGGGGGGTCTCACCTGGGCGAATGGAGTCACGATGAGGTCCTCAGCATGTCTGCAAACAATGATGGGTGTGGGTCAGGGGTCTCTGCGCCAGGACCCCCAAGGGGGGGGCAGAGGGGCCGGGAGACCAGAGAGGTGGCTGTGCAGGGTGGCCACTGCAGGACAGGGCTGGGCTGGGTATATTTTGGTTTTGAGGCCACACCTGGGGGTGCTCAGGGCTTACTCCTGGCTCTGCACTCAGGGAACCCTGTGGGGTACCGGGGATTGAACCTGGGTCAGCCACATGCCAGCTAACCCTCCTGCCCGCTGTCCTTTCTCGAGCCCGCTAGAGTGGGACCGAGAGAGGCTGGCGGAGGGCAGGAGGGTGCTCCGGGAGCTCAGGGGGTGCCGCCATGATTTGGGGTAACAGGGAAGGGAGGGGAGGGGTTACACCGGTTTAGTCTGGACAGCCCCGGGGTGGATGGGGTCGCGGGGCAGGGGCAGGTGGGGTGCTCACGCCTCGCTGGTGACTGACGAGTTCCGGGACATGGTCTTGGGGGACATGTCGTAGTCGCTGTCGGAGCGGTAGAGGAAGGACTCCCGGCGCTGGCTGGCGGCCGCCCCCGCGTGCAGCACCAGGCCCGGGCTGGCCTGCGAGTCCAGGGGACTGCGGGCCGGTGAGAACGCGGGTCCATTCTCTGCCTCAAAGCTACAGGTGTAAAGTGGGAGGGTGGTCAGGGAGGGGGAGGGCAGCCAGAGAATTCCCTGGCAGAGGCGGTGGCCTAAAAGACAAGGAGCGTGGGGGGTCGGCGTCCGAGTTCCTTTGCTATCCAGACCCTGTGCCCGGGCCTGGGGGACTTGGCTGGGTGGTACCCAATGACATGGTAGCCGACCTCCAAACAGGCTCACCCCGCAGCAGTGCACGCGGGATCCGCCTCATTCTGTCTTCCCTTGCCCCGCTGCTCACCTCTGTGGGGAAATATCAGCTGCTCTCTTGGGGGTCCAGCCCCCAACATCTCCGGCAGCCCCTCGCCTGTTCCCGCCGCCACCGCCAGGGGGCGCGCCAGGGCACCTGCGTCCACCTGCCTTCAGCGGTAGGCGTTTTCGCAGCCAATGAATGGACGGCCTCTGGCGACCTGGCGGGACCCGTCCCTCCCCGACATCCGCGACCGACGTCCGGCCACGCTGGCCTGCACGCTGAGCTCAGGCTAGCCCTCCGAGCCGTCTTCCAGGCCCCTTCCTTCCTTTTTATTTAGGGGGATAAATTACATATATTTAGTTTTGGGGCCACACCCTGCGGTGCTCAGGGCTGACTCCTGCACTCAGGGATCACTCGTGGTGGGGATCAGGGGGACTTATGGGGTGTAAGAGATAAAACCTGGGTCAGCTGCGTGCAAAGCCAGCACCTGACCCTTGAATTATATATATTATATATTTTAATAGCTTATTTATGCATATATGTACATATAAACATACACATAAATATATAATACATTACTGGTCATCACATTATTCTATAATATAAATGTTATGTAAATATAAACGTAAATATTATCTTATAAAATAAAATAAAATAGCACAGCGGGTAGGGCGTTTGCCTTGCACGCGGCCCACCCGGGTTCGATTCCTCCGCCCCTCTCGGAAAATCTGGCAAGCTACCAAGAGTATCTTGCCCGCACGGCAAAGTCTGGCAAGCTCCCTGTGGCGTATTCGATATGCCAGACACAGTAACAACAAGTCTCACAATGGAGACGTTACTGGGCCCGCTTGAGCAAATCTATGAACATCGGGAGGACAGTGCTACTGTGCCATAGGGGCTGGAGCGATAGCATAGGGGTAGGGCCTTTGCCTTGCACAAGGCCGACCTGGGTTCGATTCCCAGCATTTCATATGGTCCCCTGAGCACTGCCAGGAGTGACTCCTGAGTGCAGTGCCAGCAGTAACCCCTGTGCATCACCGGGTGTGATCCCCCCCAAAAAGAATTATTTTATAGAGATATGCAGGGGTCAGGAGCTGATTGAAAGGGTCAGGGCATGTGCTTCATATGTGACAGCCCCAAGCATGATCCCTGACACCACGTGACCCTGCCCTCCCCGCCACACACACTGAGATTGAGTGGCCTGGAAAAACAGAATCAAAACAAAAAGTAGAAAAGTTCAGACGGTTCCTAGATGCCAACCAGAGACTGGAAACGTCATTTTTGTCCTTAGGGAAATGCAGATGAGAACCAAGAATGCTGACGATTTCACACCTCCACCAGGAAACACAATAAACAGACACTTCTGGGCAGGTTGCTATGAGGCTTTAAAGAATCTGAACTGGGGCTGGAGTCAGAGCACAGCAGGGAGAGCAAGGGCGTTTGCCTGGCACAAGGCTGACCCAGCTTTGATCCCTGGCACCCCACAAAGTCCATCTCCCCCCCGCCCCCGCGTCCACCGTCAGGAGTAATTCCTGCAGAGCCAGGAGTAACCCCATTGGGGTGTGACCTGAAAAGCCAAAAAATAAACTGAAACTTCAGGCTGGAGACTTAAGATAGCGGGGCAGGCTCTAGCCTTGCTTGTGGCGGATCCGGGTTCGATCTCCGGCACCTCCAGAGTCCCACCAGGTCTGAGTTCAGAGCACAGAGCCAGGAATAAACCCTGAGCACCACTGGCTGCAGCCCCAAACAACAGAACAACAAAGTAACCTAAGAAGTACTTGGGAGGGGCTGGAGCAATAGCACAGCAGGTAGGGCGTTTGCCTTGCACGCCGGCGACCTGGGTTCAATTCCCAGCATCCTATATGGTTCCCCAAGCACCGCCAGGAATAATTCCTGAGTGCAGAGCTGGGAGGAACCCCTGTGTGCAACATCGTGTGTGACCCAAAAAGCCAAAAAAAAAAAATGGAGTGCTGGGAAGTCTCTGGAAAGAGCCTGGTACCCGTGCGCGTGTGTGAAGGGCGCAGTCTCTGGGAAACCGCTGGGCTGCTCCCGCACAAGTACAGCTGTACCCCTAGGCCAACCCCTCCCCCGCCTGAGCTGAGAGCGGGACTCGCCCACATGCCTGCACCCCTACTGATGTAGCAGAATACCCCCAGAAAGAAAAACCAAGAAAAGAAATGTCCACTTGTTGGGGCTGGAGAGATACACAGATAGGGTTTTGCCTTGCATGCAGCAGACTCTGGATCGATCCCCAGCATCCCATATGGTCCCCTGAGCACCGCCAGGAGTAATTTCTGAGTGCAGAGCCAGGAGTAACCCCTGTACATCGCCGGTGTGACCCAAAAAGAAATGTCCACTTATTTACTTTTGTCTGGGGATTACACCCGGCGATGCTCAGGGCTGACTCCTGGCTCTGCATTGGGACTCACTCCTGGTGGCAGCAGCTCAGGGCACCCTAGAGATGCCAAGGATCAAACCCGGGGTGGGGGGTTGAAGTGATTGTACAGGGGGTTGGGCATTGGCCTTGCATATGGCCAACCCAGGTTCGATCCCCGGCATCCCATCTGGTCCCCGAGTGCTGCCAGGAATAATTCCAGAGAGCAGAGCCAGGAGGATCCTCTGAGCATTGCCATGCTGGCCACTCTGGCCCCAGAAATTCCCATTTATTGAGCACCTTCTGTATACCAGAGGTTCCAGGCCAGAAACAACGCTCAGGGAGGGCATTTGCCTGGCATATGGCCAACCTGGGTTCGATTCCCGGCCCCTCATGGGGTCACCTGAGCCTTGCCGAGACTAAGTTCTGAGCCCTGAGCACTGCCATGTGTGGCCCCCAAATCAAACCCAAAACACAAATGAAACAATCACAAGATACTTCTGAGACATTTTCAGGGTCAGAGAGACGTTCAGGGGTTCAGGCACACACAGATGATCCCCTGAACCCACCAGGAGTCAGCCCTGAGCATCGCCCGAGGCGCCCTCCCTCCCCCAACGCACACGTCCGCAGTAACTCAGCACTCCTCATATCCTGCACACACAGGGCAACCGCTGATCCCCCCCCCCCCCCACCAAGTCAGGGGCTGGGTTTCCTGCTCCACGGGGAGGCACAGCAGAGCCTGGTCCGACCTTCCAAAAAACCCCGTTGGAGTTTCTGGGAGGGTTTTGGTTTGTTTTGTTTTGGGGGCGGTGTGCAGGGCTCACTCCCGGCAGTGCTCCAGGGACCCTATAGGATGCCGGGGATCAAACCTGGATGGGCTGCGTGCAAGGCCAGCGCCCTCCAGCCTATCATGTAGTTCCGGCCACCCCTCCCAGTTCGTCCCTGGGGAGGGACGGGGGTGTGATTCTGCACCAAGGAGCCCAACTCACTCCAGTAGCCCAGTCGCCCTTGCAGGGGACCTAGAGGGACCCAAGGCGCAAGGCAGTGGGTTCTGGGTCGGGTGCATGTCAGCAGGAGCCCAGGGGCCCAGCTGGGAAGGGGAGGGTCCCTGGGGGCCCTCTGTTTGTGCTTCCAGGAGCCACCGTCCCAGGGGCTCTGCGAGGGGCGGGGAACAGAGCGGAGAGGCGGCAGGTGAGGTGGGGGCAGGTCCCAGCCCCCCTCCTGCAGAGCTACACGCAGGCACCATGGCGCATCACCCTGGCTGCCCTGGGGCTGAGTCCCCCTTTGCCCCCTGGAGACCCCGAGCCACAAAGCAGGGCCAAGGGCCTTCCGGGGCGGCACCCGCGGGAAAATGAGCAGCCCCACTGCCCGGGTGGTCCCAGGGGGTGAAGCTGCTGCCTGCGGCCCCCTGCCCGGAACCCTGGGCCCGTCCACTTGGGCTCCCAAACATCAAATTGGGGTCCTGAGGCCACCAGGGAGCCCAGGGGATCTGTGACAAGGGCCGAGGGGAAACAAACATGGGGGAGGGGTGGGCACAGGGGCACAGTGGGGGGCACAGGAGCCTTGCCCAGGGACCAGAGGTCGCTGCCTGGACACAGCAGCAACTGAACACTCGCGCCCTGCCCACCAGAACAGGACCCCTCACCCGCCGGTGGGCGGTGTCCCGCGAGGCCTGGTGACCCCCGGGCACCCTGCCCTGTGCCACCTGACGCGCTGGGGGACGGGTGCCAGGAGTCTTGTGGCATTTGTTTCTGAAGGTCACTCGGCATTGCGGGCAGGCTCCGGTGCCAGGTGATACAGCCGGGAGGGCTGCCTGGGGGCAGGGGCCGGAAGAAGGGGCTGGTGTTGGGGGGGGAACCTCTCTGGTGTGGCTGTGGGGGAGAAGCACAGCAGAGGGAGCAGGAGCAGCTGGCCTGTGGCCTCGGACAATGGTCACTCAGGGGCGGGGCCCGCAGGCTCCAGAGTGGGGACCTGGGCTGTGAAGCGGGTTGGCGTGTGTTGTGTAGACAGGGGCCATGTGTCATGGTCTGCCCCCGAGGCCGCGTCTGCTGTGGGCTTCTCTGTGCGCCCCCAGCCTGCCAGGAAACTCACACTTGGCACCAGGTGGCCCCGATGCTCGCTGTGTGATGTGGGGGCCACTGCCATGCCTCAGTTCTGGACCCCCCAAATTCTGTGAAATCTAAATACCAGGCCCCTCCCCTCCCCCACCCCGGTTTTCTCACCCAGGCGGGTGGGGGTGGAAGGCTGGAGGCCTGGGCAGAGCAGGGCCCTCGGGGTTGGCACCCAGCCGCCGGTGGCCTGGGAATGGAGCCCAGGTGACGCTAGACACTCATACTTGTTGCCAGGCTGAACGCCAGAAGTTCAGGTTTAGGGGTGCAAAGTGGGGGAAGGGATCTCATCCTGCATAGGCAGGAAG